GTAATTTTCTCAAAATCATAGACTAGCAAATGGCAGGGCCAGATCCAGATGCCAGTAATGCCAGATTCAGATGCAGGCACAGGTCTCCCTGATGTTTGCTAAATGAGTGAGTGAATGAGTGAATGAATATGTGCTCAACTGCCTGCACTAGAAAAACTGAGCTTCTCTTAACTGACTGGATGGTTCTTGTCTAATCTTGTCAAAGATTCCAGTGCATGAAATCCTTGCACTCAGGAGGTGGTTGGGGGGGGGGGGGGGGCCTGTCCCTCAGCCTAGTCTACACCTTCTTGTAGTCCAGGAGCCCTCGGGGATGTCCGATTGATGGCTTAGGCCCACTCCCCTTAGCGCGGCTGTGAAGGTGGGAAGGGCTCCCGCCACCTCCCCTGTGCTCACCAGTGGTGAGTCCAGCTTCTGGCTGGGCAGCGTTCCCCCTGTGGGAACGCACTGACCACCAGGGGGCAGCTCCTGGGTTGAGCATCTGCTCCCTGGTGGTCAGTGCACATCATAGTGACTGGTCATTCCATTGGTCAGTCCATTGGCATATTAGCCTTTTATTATATAGGATGCTCTAAACCTCATGTTGCTCATCTCTTCACAGGTCACTCTATGCCCATGCAAAAAAAAAAAAAAAAAAAACTGGATCGTTTTAGCAACATAAAGAGCACTTCCTTGGCTCCGACTCCCACCAGCTATTGGGAAAATCTTCCCCAACGGGAGACTCAAATATCTCATTGGGTGAGCCTACCCATAGCCTCCTATGGTCCAGGCCAGCCCAGGGCCTGCACCGCTGCAGGCAGAGCCCACTCCTGTCACTTCCAGCCACCTGCCTCCCCAGCCCGCGAAAGCTGACGGGCCCTTGCGGCTGCCGAGATGCTTCTGTGTCCACTTCCAAGGTGTGGGGCCACCCCCCACTGATGCAGACACCGCCATCGAGCAAGTGCCACTCACACGGCCAGCACCAGGCCCACCGCCTCTGCTGGTGCAGCTGTCACATCGCTGGAGCAGCTTGCTGCCCAAGTCAACACCTTGGCAAGCTGCCCTTCGGGCTCTCAGAGCGGGGAGGCCAATGTGGGAGCCAGAAGATGAGGGACAGACTGAGGGCCAGGATATCATGACGAACTCAGTATGACCTCCTCCTCAGAATAAAGCTTCGCTCTGGACCCTGTTAGGATTTCCTGGGAAGTGACCTGGTCCCTCATGCAAACAGATCCCTGGAAAGCCCAAGACTTCTCCAACTCCCACAGGGGAGAGAGAGTGAGGCCACCTGGGCCCGCCTCCCTCAGCCCGCTCCTCCTGCGGGCTTGCAGGTGGCCGTGCGTCTTTCCTCTGCTACTCGGGAGGCTGAGCAGCGCCTCGCTCGTCTTCACAGGAGCCCACCTGGCCCCTGCCTGATCCCTGTTTCCCTTTCAGGCCTGTTTTCACAAGCATCATTCTTGTCGTTTTATTCCATTACATCTGAAAGGCAGCAGAGGTGGGTGGTGGCTAACATACACACTGGAGCCAGGCCGGCTGGGCTCAGCTCGCCCTCCTCAACTCTCAAGCTGTTTGACCTTAAACGTGCAACTTGAGCTTCACAGTCCTCATGGCAAAGCGGTATCTGCAGGTGCCTTCTTCACAGAGCGGCAAGGATGAAGTGATACAGCAAGCGAAAGCACTCACAGCCACCAGCACACGGAAGGCACTCCATCGGAGGGGACATTTATTATTGCAGTCATTACTGTAATGAGATGAGTGTGGGGTTCTCTAGGGGACACAAAAGAGAGGAAGGTCAATCTAGGCTCGGGGTGTCAGGAGAGCTCTGGGGAGGAGGTGGCATAATAAGTGCTTGTCAGGAGAACCGTGGTGAGAAAGAGCATTCTAAATGAGTTTGTTCAAAGGCCCTGAGGTATGAAACATGTTGGCAGGAGAGCTGCCAGTAGGTCAGCACAACTGGAGTAAGGGTTCAAGGTCAAAGAGAAGCCAGAGCCAGATCCCAAAGAACCGACCAAAAGCCTTGAACAAAGGGAAGACAAAATCAGGTTTGTCTTTCAGAAAAGTTTAGGTAACGTCCACCTAACACAGTTTTCCCTTCCCTGGTGCTGGCTGTGTGAGTGGCACTTTGCATAGCCACCGTTATGATGATCGGTTATCACAAAACCACTGGAGTATATACACTGGGTGGCCAGATTGTTATGTGTTCAGAGGTCATAATAATCTGGCCACTCAGTGTATAATGCTACAAGACACGGGACTTGTTGTAATTCACAGTTCTTTCCTCTGCTCACAAGCCTTCAAAAGTCTTTGTTTGGGTGTTAATGATGAGCTGGCTTATTTTTCTAGACTGGTTTAATTGATGCAAAAGGCCTTTACCAATGGCATCTTCCAGATGGATTTTAAATGCTCATCTTCCCAACCACAAGGAGAGTCGTAGATGGCCCCTTCTTAGCATCTAAGAGCCAGACACAATCATTTCCCCGCAGGATACACAGACAGTAGGCAGCTTGGGTCAGGACTGGGAGATGGAGGTGGCTGCGGGAGGCAGAGCCAACTTAGGGGTTAGTCCTGGAACTGGAAGTGAAACATGTCCCAGGATAACAACATCATGAGTAAAACAGTAAATAAAATTTAAAAAGTCACTGAAGAAGAAGAAAAAGGGCAGGTGCTGTGGTGTGAAAGGGAGGGACGAGACCGCAAAGAGTATCTTTTGATGGAATTTAATGACAAAGGAGGTCCAGGGAAAAGTCTGAGACAGGCAACCAAACTGTTTGAATACATATAGCTTCATCTGTTCACGTATCGTTCGTGAGGTCAGCCTATTAGCCTTGTGTTCATTCTCTTTGTACATACATGTGCTGGGTGATGAGAAACTAACTGGACACCACAGAACCACATGTGCTCTTCGGCCACGGAGGACTCAGAAGCAGGAAGGGCTGGCTGCTCCCGGGGAACCTGAAGTGTGCCAGGAATTGTCCCCGGTGTCTTATATCCGCTGCCTCTGAACCGAACCTCCACGACACTCCTTTACCCAAATCAGCAGACACACACAGTCTATTTCTCCGGCCCCGTTTTCACTGTCCCATATTAGAGAAAACAGAGGCAGCAGGTGGGAAAAGATCATGGGGTGAGGAAAATAAAGATAAAAACGTTTCAGACACCATCACTTTCATCTCCTTCCTCCTGCCCAGAGCTGTAATCTTTGCCTCTCAGTTCTCATAAAACAAACATTGCTTTTTCTTAGATCCTTTTTTTCCCATTTAACACATTTCCCCAAATGCCCATGTATGAATCCTTGTCCTTCTTGTCTAACAGTCCCACCAACACCTTCAGTAAGCGTATGTGTATTTGTGTGTGTGCGCGTGTGTGCTCAAGTGCTGGTGTGTCGGATTCAGGCACAAAGATGGAGTGCCGTCAGCCCTGTAGGATCTGCTAGTACGTTGGCCAAATCCGAATTCTGGACACGGATGCCCCGTCCCCGTCATGGGAGTGCCCCTTTGCGTTGTGGTTGCTGCAGCTTGGGGCTGCTGAGCACCGGTGGTATTTTGCTTGCTTTAAGTTGTTATAAAACGGAAACCAAGAAAAGTAGGGAGGGGAGGGAATAAGCTGATCATATCAACCCATCAGGTGGTACTCGAACTTAGCGTGTGATTTATAGTCTGCTGAGAAATTCAAAGAGCGTTGTAGAAACACTTAAAGCAAAGTGGCAAGATTTCTATCAATCACTCTTTATTTCCCAGACAGTAATTTTTCTCCTGGAAAATCAAATCAACAATACATTGTTTATTGAACACCTAGTATGTGACAGGTACTCTAAGGCCAATTGAATGTTAGAGGATTTGTTTTCATTATTATCTTTTCTTCTTTAAAATATTCAGGCCTCGAACAAGATAGGTTAGCTGTTTTCTCTTCCAACAATTTTATTATTACAAATGTCTTCAGAAGTTTAACACTTTGGTGGCTGTGCAGAGTTTTCTGGGTCTTTATTGTTTCGTTTTGTTTCCACTGTTGTTTTTTTCACTTAAATTTTTCTTCTCCTACCCTCTGATTTTTAGGGAGAAACAAAATCTAGCATCTGAGACTACTCGAAATGTCTGGGCTGGAGATCACTAATGACCTCCCAGAGACAACCCAAATTGCTGATTTAGCAAAGCCCATTCTTGACCTTGACACAAGGCAGGACAGGCAAAGGGGAAGGACTGGGGAGGGAGCCGTGAAAGAAAAAGGATCCTAGAGGCGCTCAGATCTCCCCGGTCCCCTCCCCCATTCAGCAAACACCTGGCTGAGTTGGAAAACATGACCGGCCCAACCTTCCTATTGGCACCAATTGAAGCTGTCATCTCTGGGCTTGTCACCAGTTGCACTGGGAGGCCCTGGGCGGCCACAAGAGCCCTAATTAGGCAGAAATGACACTTCTACAACTGACCTGCCAGGACCTTTGGCAAACCATTTAACATCATTAGTTAACGTTTTCTAAAAGTGTGAATGTAAATGAACAGCCAGTGGCTTTCAATGGAGTTTGTCGGTGGCATGCCCCCCCACACACCCCCTCCCTGCTCACTCTTTCTCTGTTTCCATGAATAGTCCACTTGTTTTCTCCAGAATGGGAGGGAGGGCACTGGGGGAGAAGGGAGAGGAGGACTGGCGCAGGGGAGCGGAGAGACCACCTCGGCCCGCCTCAGCCCCAGAGCCGAGCCGGGCACCGGGGTGTGCTCAGCGGGCCAGACTCACGCCAGGCCCCCTCCATCAGCCCCAGACAGTAGCCATGCCGGGCTTTGGGTCAATGGAAAAGGACTTCGTTTCCTGACCCCAGCGCCTGAGACACCCTCGTGCTCACAGCTCCACCTACTTGTTGGCGTTCTGAACTGGCTGATGTTTCGCAGCCGGTTAGCCAACATCTCATGGGTGCTTCAGTCTCCGTGTCCCCGCCTTAAAGGTGCCCGGTCCCTCTGTGAAGGCATGACTGACGGTCTAGGGATAACCGTTTCAGATGGTCAGATACTCACAGAGACGGGTTCACTTCCTACCTGCAGCGGTCACCTCCCACCGCGAGTCGCACTTCATTTTGTTTTTCGACGTACACCCGCAAAACTTATACACGCCGACGCTCTCCATCTGCGGGGGAGGGGGAGAGGGTCATTGTGAGAACGTCACTTTGTCTGTCTGTTCCCAAGCTGCTCTCCAATCCTGCGCCCATGCTGGGGGTAGCAGGCAGAAAGGTGGAGGTGGGCGGCCGAAGGGCCAGTTCCTGGCAGGCCTTTGCACGGAGCACCTGCCTGCTCGCTGTGTGGCCCTGGACGGGTGGTTGGCCCTGAGTGGCTGATGTTTTCATAAGATAAGGCCTTACTGCCCTGGCTGGTTTGGCTCAGTGGACGGAGCACCGGCCTGCGGACTGAAGGGTCCCAGGTTCGATTCTGGTCAAGGGCACATGCCCGGGGTTGCAGGCTCGATCCCCAGTAGGGAGCGTCATCAATCAATGATTCTCTCTCATCATTGTTGTTTCTATCTCTCCCTCTCCCTTCCTCTCGGAAATCAATAAATAAACACACACACACACCCCACACACACACATCACACACACCCACACACACACACCACACACACACACACACACATAATATATTTAAAGTTAATACCTTACTCCTGAAAGTCAGAAAAAAAAAAATAAACAGGAGTATCATAGTAACTGGAAAGCAAACAAAGGTAGGGAGTGTGGACCACTGAGAGGGGCCAAAATTGAGGCTCTGTCCTCTTGCTCCCCAAGGCCCACTTGCCAAAGCCACCGCCCCACAGGCACACGCAGACCCTCTGTGCAGGCCCGACTCCTGCTTATCCTCGAAGGCCTGAGAATACGACAAAGGAACGTGCAGGAGTGCAAAACAGGTTCCTCAACGCACGCTTCCAGGAGTCCCTTAGCCTGTCTGCGGGGTCCCACCCAGCAGGGCCGGGAGCGCGTCTGGTCCCTCCCCGGGTTTCCAGAAGCCCTGACAGCCTCAGCGGGCCCGCGGTAGATGCGCAATAACTGTGTGCTGAGTGGGAGAGCGATGCGGGCTCAGGCGGTCGGGATGCGTGCTTTGGGAAGGGCACCCATACTGGATTGGGAGAGTTCTACTTGTCTCTGAATGGAAGACAGTAAGATCAAGCGGGCAGTTTGTGGTAGAGGATGCTTGTAACCTAATCCTCGGAGGGAAGGAAAAGAAAAACAATCTTCGTTTGGGGCAGAAAGGGAGAGAAAGGATGGGGAAATGTCCTTAATCACAGTAAATGGGGAAGGGAGAGAGAGAAAGAGAGGGAGAGAGGGCGGCTCATTGCGACGAAGCATTTAGTGCTTTTAAGCTAAATACCTCAGCATATTAAGCAAATAGAGGAAAGCCAGCTAGAAGGTGTCAGCAAATGGAAGCGAGCGGGGCTCAGAAAGCCGACAGGAGGTGCCTGGCTCTGACCCCTTTTCCCATCACAGGCCTGGCCCGCCTGCTTGTTTAGTGTTGCCTCTCCTCTCCAGCTGCGGCGCTTATTGAAAAGCCCTTGCTCCCTGCCTGGTTTTGGCACATTTTCTGCAGGTGCCTCCTACTGCGGCCACAATGGGCTGCCAGGGAGGTTCAGACCTGTCAACAGCTACGGGGGAGGGGGCGGCGGGGCGGAGGGGGCGCCGCTATTGTCTTAAAGGGCCAGGGACACTGGGACCCTCCCCTCCGCGAAGCCGGCGGTACAGGCACCTGCTAATGAGACGAACCCTTTCTCCGGGCTCCCTCTTTCTCTCTTTAATGATTTAACTTGATCGCTTTGGTTCCTTTCTGGAAGGGGGAATTGCTCCATTGATCATCCAAAGTAATTGCCTGTAAAACATTGCCCCTGCGACCACGGCGGCTGCTTCCCCGGCTGAAAATGTCACAGCAATTGAAAAGCTCTCAGCCCAGTTCAAGGACGAGGTGGCTCAGGAGGACAGTCCCTGCACATGTCCTCCAGGACGGGCGAGCTGCATGCTTGGGGTGGGACGGGTGGGTGTGGAAGGCAGAGGATTTCTCCTCCTGTAGCAGGGTCTGATTTTGTGTGAGGCGGTGGAAGACGAACCAAACTGAACTTGAAACTCCCTCAACCCTAAAATTAGACAGTTCAGGGAAATACATTTTATCCTTCCTTCCTTCCTTCCTTCCTTCCTTCCTTCCTTCCTTCCTTCCTTCCTTTCTTTCTTTCTTTCTTTCTTTCTTTCTTTATCCTCACCTGAGGATATTTTCCCATGGATTTTTAGAGAGAGTGGAAGAGAGAGGGAAAGACAGAGAGAAACATCGATGTGAGAGAAACACATCCATCTGTTGCCTCCTCACATACCCGACCAGGGCCCAGGCCAGGCAGAAGCCTCCAACCGAAATACGTGTCCTTGACTGGGATCGAACCCGGGACCCTGGGGTCTGCAGGCTGGTGCTCTACCCACTGAGCCAAACCGGCTGGGACGACATTATTTTCTTAACTACCCAGGCCCTTCTTTTCCGGGAGGCCCTGAGTTCGGAGGGATGGCCACGTGGGTCAGGTGAGATTTAGGAAAGCGTCTTTGCTTCCTCACACAGGAAGACAGAGTCTTTGTCTAGGGGGAAGCAGGGGCCTCGGTTTGGGAGGGGAATGATGCTCTCATTGGGCGAGATTTGCTGATTCTTCAGACCTGTCACTTGGCGGCAGCAGCGACACGCTGTAGGAACGGCGTGACATGCTTAAGTAGTCTCCGTGAATACTTTATTAGTCATTGCCAGGCCGATGTGAGGGTGTAAATTCACCTGGGGACAAGCACTTTGTTGTGGGCATCAGCCTGCCAGCGAAATAAACAGCTGCTGGCGATGGTCTCATCTTCCTCTGACAGGAGACAGCCCAAGTGTGTATGGGCATAAGCAGGCTTTCTCCATCTAATTGGTGGGAAGCACCACTTGCTAAGTGAGATGCTGCCAGGTTCCTAATGTTACTAATTTGGGAACAAAGCTGCAGGTGAGTCACCTTCCAGCAGAATGAGCTGCGGATCTCTTTGTAGCTGATGAAGCAAGCGGCAGGCGCTTAATACCGTATTTTAATATTTTAAAAAAGGGTGAAAGCATCTGCCCGCCTCCCTGACAAACAAGAGAGAGAGTAGAGCATCCAGGTGCAGAAGGCCGTGTAAACGGTAAATCTGAAGACAGCTGTAAGGTGTTTTTCACGTAAGCCTTCTGAAAGGCCCGGGTTCAAGTGTCACAACTTGTTAGTAGATGCAGCAGGGTTGTTGTTGTTGTTGTTGTTGTTTTTTCCTGGGAATTTAGAAATTTTGGATTTTACATTTTTTAATCTTGGAATATCGTCAGAATCTACAGCTATCCTGTTAAGGTGATGACATGTATTACACCAACATGTGCTGTATCTAATACAAAGTATTTTTCCTTTACCTACCCACATCGTGGATATAATTTTTAAATTCCTTAAATGTAAACCCATTCCCTACATGGATTCCTGCGTCTGGAGAATTCTGTGGGCAGCCTTTCACACACAACAGTTTTGTTTTGTTTTCATGGGGAGGGGAGGGGAAGTCTGTGCTTCCATTGCTTACATGGAAAGGCCTTTTGTTTTTTTGTCTGTAAAGTGAGGGTGTGGGGTTAAATAGCCCCAAAAGTTCTGTCTGACCGTATGATTTCCTTGTCGAGAGAAATGATTCTGTAATGACCAATAGATGCGGGTAAACATGGCCCGTTATTTCTAGCTGCTTTGCCGAATAGATAGTAAAAGCGGGTTGAGTTAAGCCCCTGCAGCCACGAGAGGAAAGCCGGACCACCAAGGCCAGAACCGCACACCCTGTAAAGACTCTCCGGGAAGCAGGAATGTGCAGGAAGGTGGTGGGGGCAGCAGGAGCGAGCGCGGGAGGGTGGTCGGCTGGCGGCTGCTGGGGCTCCGGCTGCTTGTCCTCCGCATGAACTCCCAGAGTGAGAGCGAGAACGGATGGTGTTAACACTGCTGGAGGGGAAGGAACATTCAAAGAGGGAAACACAAGCACAGAGTCAGGGGAAGGAATGTCGACCTGCCAGCAGCCACAAGACTGGTTTTACTTTCGCATCCTCTTCTTGGACGTGTTTGCACGCGATGGGAGAGGTCTGCGTGGAACTCCCAAGTTCAGAGGCACCAGATGGAGCATCGCAGTCCTATTCCTCGTGGATCTCTGTGGCCCGTTTGAAACCACCTGACTTCACGAGGTAGAAATTCACCTTGAATTAAGCTTGTTGCGACATCATACTAAAATAGGGTTTGCCACGATGTTGGATGTGCGTTTAAAAATAAAAGAACGTGTTTTTGAAATGCGACGTCATTCCTATGTCCACGCACACCTGGAGGATGAAATGTGCTCACAACGATGAGAATTACACACTGGGCACCAATGCGATTTGGTTGTTTGAAGGGGAAGAGCTAACACCCTCAGAACCAGATCTGTAAATTTATTTAAGGAGGGAGTGCCACAGACATCTCAGCCTGCGCCCTTATTTACTTGGCGTTTACCCTTGTTACCAACATAAAGTTAACACACAAGAAGGCTGAGATGCCTCACACTGAAATAAAAAGTTCATATCAGGCTGAGGGATAACAGTACCTGTTGAAAAGCCTGCATTTCACATATAAGGTTTCCTTACTTTCCAGCTAGAAAGTCATGTGAACTGGAACCTGGCTTTATAGCTCCTGAATTAATATGGAACTGCTGGCTATGGGGAGAAAAAGAGCTATTTTATGCCTTAATAGAATGCATGGGGTCCTTGTAAATGAACGTTTCAGCTGCGGTTCGTGTGACTAAGTCAGACCTCACTCCCCTCCCCCACGAAGAGCCCGGTTCTACTTTTTTTGTTCCTTGCAATCTTCTCAGAATGACGTGCCGCAAAGTTTCCTTTCAAAAGTCAGAAAGCACAAAACAGCTGGAGGAGGGTTTCCATGCCCTGTTTCTCCGGTTTGATACAAGATCACACCTCCTTTCTTCCAACCAGGTCCCCTCCAGAGTTACAACTTATTTTAAAGTGCACTCCTGAAAGAGAGGCACTTTAATAATATTGCCCGTAGGACTGGTCCAAGGGACTAGTTTTGGATGCCTACCATAAAAAAACCAAAAACTTTACCTACACATGTGACCAAAAACAGATGAGATGGGATGGCATCAGTAGAGTCCTAAAGCCTGAATTTGGAGAGAAAGGTGAATCCCTTATAAACACAGTAACGGTATGAGCTGACACTGATGTGACAGCCGACCGAGCCTTAACCCCGGGGGTACAGGCGTGTGTGTGTGTGTGTGTGTGTGTGTGTGTAATTCTCTGTCTGATCCACCAGCAAGGGTCTAGTTGTATGCCAAGGAAGATCATACTTTTTTCTTAGCATTAAAGCTTGAAAAAAGAGTGTGAAAAGTTCAAGGAATGCTCCTAATGAGTTAGAGTCATACCCAGAACACATATGCAGGGAAAAGTAAAAATGCTTACTTTTAGTTTTAAAAAGCACAAAACCTCACATGGTGATTCCTTTTGTTCTACATAACAAACAATACTTGAAGATAGCGTCTGTTGCAAAAATACGTTCAAAGAGATCTTATAATTTTGAATTCTTCATTTTGCTTGTATTGCCTGCTTTTGCAGATTTACAATTATCTTAAAAAAAAAAAAGACAACTAATTTTCTAACAATGGGTTTATGAGAAATATACAGAAAATAATTATAAACTGAACAGATATTTTTCTTGCAATGGTCTCAGTTAAGCATTCAAAATGGCTGTATTTTCAGTAAAGTAATAAGTGGTATATAATACAATATTCCTTTAAAGCCTATACATTGAATAACATACATTTTACTTATTTCAAATTCCATACTTTTTTTTTTTTAAAGTTATGTTTTTGTTCTTTCTCTACAAAACACAGTCGTTGATCCTTACCCTACAAAAGACAGTCCTGGACTTTGTATTCTCAACATCAACACAGGAGCTGTGTGTTTCCCTCATGTGCTGTCAGCCTGGCTGTAAAGAAAAGAAAGCATCTATGATTCGGCACCAAAGTTCAGGTCAGGCCCACACGTTCATAAAAATTCCAGTGAGTGCCGGCACGGAATAGTTTTACATCAAAAGGAAATTTGGTACTAGGTCACCCGAACAGAAAGTCCACCTTTAACATTTCAGGGGTAGAAACATTCCTTAGAAAGCACAGCTATGTTAGCTTAACTGAGACATCTCTCCTCTGTAATATGCCCTGCTTCATAAATGTGTTTCACAGTCTTCCCTATTTTTCAAATCCCCATAAAAATACGAAGAGAGTGCAAATATTTGACCATGAACTTTGGGGAAGTTGGTTACTTGGAGTAGCTCAGGGATATTTCAAATCACTCGGTTGTTCATAATTGAATTCAGACTTTTACAATAGTCCAACAGCGGTTGGTGAACAAGAGGAGCTCATACGGGGAGTTTTGCAAGTTCCGACAAGGGCAGGGAGAGCGAGGGGGCCCTGGATTCTCAAGTCGCCTCCTTTGGCCCTATCTCTGTGCACACAAAAACACTCGGAGCTCAAGGCAAGCACCAGACACTTTTCATCCAAACCTCACTTTGGTCTCAGTGATTTATTTCAAGTGAAAGTGCCATCACACAGAGTCATCCTAATATACAGGGGTGGGCAACAATAGGTCTATAGTTGTTCGTATGAAAAATAATAAAATAACTGATAAATGATAACACAAGAATAAATGATAACACAAGAATCACAATTGTAATCCAGCTGTTGCCCACCCCTGTTCATCAGCTCTTTTTTTTTTTTTTTTAATACTTTTGTTAAAATTGAGATAATCAAGTTTAAGATTTTTTTTAGGTACAGAAAACTTTTTTCAAGTATCCCAATAAGCTGTTTAAGATATAGTGCTACCATTTGGTTATTGGTGATTGGATCCTCTAGAAACAAAAGTTTGTGATAGAAAATTCTTAAGAAGGTCTAATTTAAGAAAGTACCAATGTATTTTTTAATTTTTTTTAGAAAGAAAATTTGATATAAAGCAAATTACTAACACTACCCAACATCATGAACACAATAAGAATAACTTTCAAATACACCAAAGAAACAAACCCACAAAGCCAGTACGGTCTTGGATTATATCAACTCTTTATTTCTGTCTGAGTATGACTGCTATATTCTCCTGCACTTTCCTTTTCCTTCCTATGCCCAGACTGAGGCACTGAAAATAATTTGCCACCTATAGCCTAATCCAAAGACAAGCATCACTGAAAACATATTAAAAATTATTTCCACTTTAGAAATAACGTTTCAGTCTTTCATCCTAAGTCTCTCAAGTATTAGTGGAAACATTATTTTTTTTTCTGGGAAACTGATTCTGATCGGTACTACATTTATTTCTACATATCCATCTAAAGTGTTGAATGCACAATCACAAAATATTATAATTGCATTATTTAGTTAAAAACAAGATCCATTATCCCTTTTTAACATATAATACAATTCTGTGTATTTTTTATTATACAGAAATTTAATTTAACATTAGACTGGCAAAAGAAATTCATTCACAAGTGTCACCTTAAATAATTTTGGAAGTACTTAGGGCTCCAGTGATAATTTTAAATAATTGTCACATATAAAAGAGATGCAGTAAAAACCAAATCAATATTGAGAAATTGGTCTAAAATTATTTTATTTGTTAAAAATTCCTGGTAATTGACTTCCCCTGAAATCACAATTTTTCAGGAAATAATTCTCATCTGCATCTGTGACTAGCATTTTAGAAAAATATTCAAATAATGAAATTCTCCAACTTCTTAACCAGGGTAACAACAACAACAAAAGGCAAATCAAGGAAGAAAAGGAGAATAGCAACAGAAGACAATCCTACCCTTTGCCAATAAGAAATGCAAAAGTCAAGACCTAAATGTGACAACATTTAATTTCTTACCATTTCGAAGGCCAACAATACTATACGACTCGTGGCCAGAGAGGGACAGTCTTTTCATTTTGCTAATAAGAAACAGATAATTCCTCTTAAGCAGATTAACTTAAAGTACATTTTCAGGGAAGCTAAAATCCCCTTCAATCAGGGTCTTAAGTTTAATTATAAAAGTCAAACAATTTATTAGCTTTCATTTAAGTGCCACAACAAAATAGGTGGGCACACGAAACTCTCAGGGGCCAGGAGACAACCAAATCAAGATTTGCCATAAACATTTTTAGCCACAACTTGATAAAACATCTAACCGGTCCACTTAACTAGGATTCTTCCCCTCTTTCTTCTTTGCTGCCCCCTATATAAAAAATCCACAGTAAATGCAATGATTGTTTTTATTTTACTACTTTTATATTAAGAAAAGTACACACACAGACACACACACACAAAAGCAAAGAAGTACAAATTAGAAAACCTGCCTTTTGTAGGATCTTGTATATGTATTTGCTTTACTAATTCCCTAATTTTGTCATAAAAATACTCTCAAATTGTATCTACTTCTAAAAAGTTAAAAAATATATATTTTAGAGTGGCAAAAAAAATTAAATAAAAAGGTAAAATAGCTTGCTTAAAGGATTTCTTTTGCCTAATTTTTTTCCTTTTTTTTTTTTTTTCTTTACTGTCTGAACTCACAGGATAATTGCACTATTTCCACCTTCATTCTGCCTATAGAGAAACTGTGTGTCTATACCTTGAAAAAATGCCAATTAAACGGCCAGCGGTAGCATCTCCAACGGTATCTTTTGGTCTTCAGTGTCAAAGCCCTTTGAACAAATGACCGGAAGGCTAAGCCTAAAACAGCCTTTGACAAGAATGCCAGCTTCGAGCACTCACTTTACGACTAAGGCTCCAGCTTACTGCTTTACTTGGGAAGCAAGAGAGAAATAACCCATCAGCTTTATCATTTGCACAGATGGTAAAGGTTAAAATTAAAGTGAAAGATTACCAGACGGTCACTATTAAGGGAGGGGCAAGTTCCTTTTATCATTTAATGCAATTCCATCCAAATTTCTGTACAAAGCTAAATGAAAGACTTCAGATATTGCAAAACTGCTAAAAATGCTACATTTTCCTTTCCCTCAATTTCTGTAGTAATAATGATACCATTTACTGTATGCTGGGCACAGTGGGGAAAAGTTCACATGGAGTTTTAAATGTAATCTCATGGCAATCCTATGAAATTGAAAACACTAGCAATGGGGAAATGGGCTCAGAGAGTTTTAGAAACTTGTACAAGGTCACACAGCTGGGAACTGAGAGAATAGAACTTGAACTCTTGGGGTCTGATTTCAAGATCCCATGCTTCTAGACCAGTGGTCAGCAAACTCATTAGTCAACAAGTCAAATATCAACAGTACAACAATTGAAATCTCTTTTGAGAGCCAAATTATTTAAACTTAAACTTCTTCTTAACGCCACTTCTTCAAATTAGACTCGCCTATGCCGTGGTGTTTTGTGGAAGAGCCACACTCAAGGGGCCAAAGAGCCGCATATGGCTCCAGAGCCACAGTTTGCCAACCACAGTTCTAGGCCATTTTGGTTGCTTTCGTTATCAAACCATTCCTGGGTGAAGCCTTAGCATTCCCCTTTTGGACAGGATGCATGAAGAAAGCTTGTAGAGCAGTGGTTTCAACCTTGGCTGCCCATTGATATCACATATTAAAAAATACTTATGCCTGGGCTCCAATTTAAGGAGAGATTCCGATTTAATAGGCCCAGGCATCAGTAATTTTCAGTACTCCACAGTGAATAAAATCGCTAATCCTTCGCTTTGGGATGCTTAAATCCTAATGGTGCTTAGATTCTAGTAGAATCCCCAGATGATTCTAATGTGCAGCCCAGAGTGAGAGGCAGTGATCATATTAATATTACCACTTATCCAGGTTCCTTGCTCTAAGCCTTAATATAAGCAACTCAACTGACAGAGAATGGGAAAGAGTCTAGCAATAGCTGACAGGAGGTGGTAGAATTTTACTTAGAGAGTTCCAGATCTGAGAAGCAGTGGAGCACCGTGGAAAATGCATGGACATTGGAGTCAGCAGGGCCTGAGTTCAAATTCCAGCTCTACGATTTATGGGCTGTGTAACCTTGAACCAGCAACTTGCCTTTTGTGGATGCTCTACAGATTCGATGGGATGATGTGGGGAAAGCATTGCTGCATTCAATGGTGGTTGCTTCTGTGGTTTTTGTTGTTCTTATTACTACAGTGGTGATGACTACTGCCAGGAGGCATTAGGAGTGAGAAAATCAAATTACAGAAAAACATTTTTTATTAGTCAAACAATTCCTACTTTTATTGCTTAGCATTTAATTTGCAGCTAATTCTATTGCAAATTAGCTTGGCAATCATATTTCTCATTCATGACAACTGCGTAAGGGCAACGTTATTACTCCCGCTTGCCACGAGAGGAAAAGACAACATATCCATCTAGTCTGTCTCTGGTTTCTATGATTCTGTGATTAGACACCTGCAATCATGTTCATTAGTCCCCTATGAAAACTGATACTCAACACAGATGGCAAATGCAGGGAAGAAGAATTAACAAGCACTTGATAGCAACCCCAAAATAACATCTAAATAATCGTGTCTGAACATTAAAGTCATGGCAAACAAGGTCCAATTTATATAAAAATGTGAGAAAGGATTGAGGGAAAATGAACAAATACATTTTTCTTTATCCTCATTCATTTAGGAAATGTCTGACATAACTCAGACATTCTATCTGAGATAGAATGACAAAAAGAATGGTTAATTTCCTCTAAGAAGGGCCTTCCATTAGCTGATAGGAATACCTGATTTTATCTTAAATCAGAGCTACAAAGTAGAAGATACCTAAGATGGAGCGACCCAATTCAGTGGTTCTCAATCAAGATCCCCAAGAAGCCCGGGGCCTGTGGCTAAGGGTCCCACAACTTCAGATGGACACCAAACACATTCCCAACACTGAAGAATGGCTTGCCCGTAAATATCATCTCTTTGTCATATGTACATTTTTATGAATGAAATACAAATGCCTCTAGACATACTACTGAATTTATAATCGCTATATATAACCACTATTACATGGGAAGGAGAGTCCTCAATTTTTTATTGTTCAAAAGAAGTCTTCATCAAAAAGATTAGGAAACACTGATCTATTTAATTGAATAGATCCTAGAAGATACTGGGACATGGGGGATTCCTATAATCTAGGTTTTCTAATTCCCAATTGGTCTTTGTCCCACACCATACATCCCTTCCAATGGGAAGTAAACGGCCATGGCATGTCCTCTTTCTAATATCTGTTCTCTTTCTAAAAGAGGAGAGTATAGTCCTACCCGCTGTCATTGGATATGTGCCAGAATTTTCTCTGTATCCTGAATCTGTCTTTTCTCTTTTTTTCTCGTCTTTTCCTTCCCCTGCTCAATTCTCCAGTTTATGCCTTTTGGGTTGGCTGCATCCATCCCTATCTAGCTCCGATGCTCTGTAAGTGCCCTGGGACATTTAGTCCTAATATGAAGGTACTGAATAAGGAATGTGTTAAGTCTGTATAAAATATGCATATGTATGAGTGTATTTTATAGTTGAAACCCCAGAACTTCTAAATCTATGGAAAATAAGAAAACTGATGTATTCGTGAATAATTATCTTATTTTCTCTGAACCTGTCAACACTAGCAGGCTCTTAAATCCCTAGCCTACCAACTTTTCAAAATGCTTTCACGTCTTTTATTTCAGATTATTGTCCCAATTGGTCACTAAAATGCATTACTGGAGCACAATTAGAGAACTTAAATCTCATGACAAGAAGAAATGCGATTTATTTTATTCACAACCTACCCCCAACCCCCAATAGCTAAAACAGTTTCCTGGCACATGGTAGTCATTCATTCAATTAATGTTTGTTGATTGCCTGAATCAACACCAAATGGGAATGGCAGGTTTATTTATTCATCATTAAGCCTACAAGTAGTTTTATTTTTATTTGAGGAGATAGAATAATCTACAAGGGAAGAACTGAGTCCCTAATAATCTTTTCCGTCTTCAATTCTCCTCATAATATTTGACTTAACATCCTTTCCTCAAATAGTTGTAATGTAATTCTTCAAAATTACACAAGTAATACATTCATTTTAGGAAAATCAGAAACTGCCAATAGATAAAAATAAAATCAAAGTTCCCTATATCCCCATAACCCAAGGATGACACAATATGCTTTATCCTTTCAGACTTTATTCTGTGCGCCTGCGTGCCTGCACACGCCCACACGAGCACACATACACACACACACACACACACACACACACACCTGACATAGTTCCACAACTCTGTCCTAGATTCTATGATTTGAAGTTTTTTTTTTCTTTTTTCCATAAGCTCCCCCTTTTTTGGGGTCTCCTACGATAGCTCTTTACTTTCTTCCTATATCCTAAATATATTCATTCCCCAACATTTAGAGCCTGAGTTCCAGAGGATGTCTTCCCCTTTTCCTTCCAGAAGATTCATCTGTTCTTATTCAACTTTAAATTTGTTGTGGGTATCTTCTATCTTCACTCTTCCCTCTCCTCTGGGATACCAGTGCCCTACATGTCTCAAACCAGTACATCCTGTTCCAACAAAACCAGATCACTCCTTCCCCCCATTTCTGTCAGCTGTAACCCAATCCTGAAGGCTCTCCTCCACAGTCATCTTTGGTTCCCCGACCTCAAGGTGATTGTCAGCCTTGCTTCCTATTCTCTCTCTTCCCCTTCTCTTCTCATTGCTACTATTACTGTTAGGGCCTTACATCTATGTTATTTTCTGCCTGGGTCTCCTGCTTGTGTAACAAAACGCCTATCCAAGTTACCCACTGCTGCCGGGTAACTTCCTAAAATACCACTTCCACCTTGCCTATCCTATATTCAGAGATGTGGGATGGCCTCCCACCCTTACAGAGTGACATTTCTGCTCCTTCACGGTCTCACCTCAGACTACCTTTCCATCCTTATTTCTCATTATTCTTATAAATAAAACCTCTTGCTCCAGCCAGCCTGGTGTACTCAGTACTTACCCAACTCCAAAACATGTGATTGTGAGTTAGGTATTTATGAAGTATTTATTTTGTGTAAAATCCCTTCATTCACTCGACAGATATTTACTGAGCATCCATTCTACCAGGTAATAGACTGTTGCTGGGGATGCAAAGAACAAGTCCCTGTCCTCATGGAACTTAGAATCGAATGTGTTACAGAGAGGACACTCTGAGACACGATGGCCCCAGCTCAGGGCACTTCCAATGTCCCATTACAATGTCAAAGAGTCAAGATGTCCCTGAGGGCTGAACTTTGCGGCCCCGGGGAAGGACTCAGAAGAAAGGAAGGGCCGAGTGAGGAGAGCCAGAGTGTGAGAAAAGGCTTCTCTGAAGTGGGACACAACCGGGCCTTCGAGAATGGGCTGCTAGAAAACAGGGTGCCCTCCATCCAGGGGGATGTGAGGAAAGGCACAGAGGTGGACCGGAAACAGCAGCAGCAACGGCAGGGGCTTATTCTGTACCAAGGTTCACTCAACCCCGTTCGTCGGAGCCCACGCTCCGTCCCTGCGGCCTGGACTCTGCGGGGGATGTGAGCATGACTCAGGCGTGGCTCCTACACGCAGGGACGGCCATCTAGCCGGGAGGATGAGGTAGGTCTGTGATGACTTACAAGCACCCTGGAAAGTGAGACATCCCATTAGCGATTGGGAGAAAACATGGAGAAAGTGCAGGAGGTCCATGTCTGGGCCCTTATTTATAGAAGCAGATGTTTTTATGGATGTGCGTGCACCTACTGAACACAGCTATCCGGTTTCAAATGTTCTCGCGCTCATTTTCTCCTGAGTGACCAGTGAGCCGAGCAGAGTGGGTAAGTGAGATGTGTTTTCCAGGTGATCCAAGGGCAGCACAGGCCGTGGAAGAGACCTGCTTAGGTCAGAAACGCAGACAGGCCAGAGCAGCCCATGAAGAACCCTCGTTCCCGTAGCAGGAGCATGGGGGGGAGGGGGGGAGAGGAAGCGCATGCAGAGTCCTAGGATCCTGCAGGACACCGGGCCAGGGCCCTGCAGCCACGCAGGCAGCTTGGATGTAAAAAGGGCAGGAGGCAGGCAGCCTGCGAAGGTTCTGGAGCGAGAACACGACCCAGAAAGTCTTTCTCTACCCTTCCCCCAGCCTTCTGAGCCACAATCATCCTTAAGTTTCACCCCAAACCCTTTTCCCAACCCACTGATTTAATCCGACTAACCTCCCAGGGAGTCCGCGACAGAGCGCCCCGCTAGGACACGGCTCGGCTCAGGGCAGTGAGGGAATGAAGGAATGAATGAATGAATGAAGTGATTAATTTCGGGGACCTACACAGCTTAGGGAAGCATACCCTGAGTTCTTGCAAACCTCCTCAGGAGGGTAGGCCTCACGGGCCGCCCTCGCCACCCATCATCAGAGGTACGAAGGTTGGGGTGGGGGTGGGGGGGAGATGGCGAAGGCCCAGGGCCCGAGTTCCGGGGCCACAGGACCCCGCGCCGCCCCAGGCTCGTGTCCCGCCTCCCCCCCCCCTCCCCCTGGAAGCCGGGATCGCCTCCCACACTCCCACCAATGGCGCTCCCTGCGATCGCTAACTATTTTCCCACCCGGAAAACGTTGGGTGGGGGTGGGGGGTGGGGTGGGGGTGGGTGAGTGGTGACGAGCGTGAGGGGAGGAGGACTGAGGGGGTCTTCCTCCCAGCTCCCGCCAGGGGGACTGGAAGCCTCGCGAGACTTGGGGTCGGGCTCGGCGTTGCGTTGCTTAGCGACGCGGAAGACGCTCTCGGGGCCCCCAGGCTAACTAACCCCCCCCCCCCCCCGCGGTCGGCGGCCTGGAATCTCCTACCATGGGGGACGGAGGCGGCGGCCGCGGCTGCGGGACCACCAGGGAGCTGCAGAGGCGGAAGCAGCAGGCGCTGGAGTACTACCGGAAGAACGACGTCCCGCGCAGGCTGGAAGAGCTGCTCAACGCCACCTTCCACCTCCAGCCCGCCGACGTCTACGGGCACCTGGTAGGGACCTGGGACAGCACCCTCTTCCCCCGCCCCCGCCCCTCCCCCTCCCCCCGCCCGCGCTGCGGCAACGCTGTGCGCATGCGCCGCGAGGTCGCGCATGCGCGTCGCTGCCGCCGCCGCGGGGTTGGCGATGGTGGCGACGCGGGGAGGCGATCCTGAAGGACGCAGCAGAGCGGGGAGCCTGGGGCGCAGGAGGTTCCAGGGAGAAGGTGGTGGACAGGGAGCTGCTAGAGGATAATGGGCTCCAGGCAGATCTGTTGCGACGGCGACAGCTGGAGGCCTGCCGGGCTTCGTCGCGGCCTCGGGACCGGCCCCGGCCAGGCCCCGGCTGTCAGTTGTTCTTGTAAACACAGACCTCATGGCCACGCAGCTCTGTTCACCCACCTCCAGCGGCTTCCCCTGCATCACGGGATTGGGCCTTGGCCAACCGGGGGGGACCTCAGACCCAGCCCGCTCCTATGGCTTCCAAGTTGCATTCAAGTCAAGCCTGGCTCCTGCCCGGATGCCTGGTCCCGGCCTGATCCCACCTACACGTAACCTTCCATTTCAGATCAAAGTCTTGGCTGCTGCGCCCTGGACTGCTTGTCCCTCAGCGGGCCCAGTCCCTGTAGCATTTTTTTTTTCTTTTTCTTTTTCTTTTTTGGATGCACAGTGAGCGCCGTGGAGAGTAGGTGCTTTTTCCTATCACCCTTCCTGGTTGCTGTGCCCAGTGCGATTTCTGGCACAAACCTTAGCCCCAAGCAATGAGCAGTTGAAACAAAAGGCAAAGCGTTTTCTCACTTCCAGACCCATGAGTATTACCAAGACCTACCTCCTGGAAAGCAGCGTGGTTGGGTCTAGTAGGAATTTGCACTATGGTGAGGTATGGCAGGAGCAGAGCATGTAAATGCTGTGAAGAAGCCAGGTGTGTTTACAGGGTTCAAAAAGCACATTTTATGGAAGACAGTGGATTTAGAGAAAACTTGAGGAATGATTGTTTTTCTCTCAGGGCCTATGACCTCAACGTTGTGGGTGGAATGAGGATGAAGTGTGTATGGATTTCCTTGTGTTCAGTGCTTTATATGTTATTTCACTTAATCCTTGGGACCCCTGTGAGGTAAAAATTATGATCCTGTTTTACAAATACAGAAACTGGCCCATTGAACTTAAATTTTCTCCCAGGGACACAATGAACAGGAGGGAGAAATCAAACCAGGTCTTTGTCCCAAGTACCCAGCGGAGTGGCTGGTCCATGGTGGACACTCCACAACTATTTATAGGATGGATGAGTGAATGAATGAATGAATGCTACTCTGAATTCCACTATATCTTGCTAGAGGAAATCTTCAAAATTAACTTGTCTAAGCTCCTCATTTTACAAAGACACGGAACTCTTAACTCTAAGCAAAAGTTAAGGCTGGAAACTTGAACTCTGGTTCCCTGGTGTAATGCTCTTCTTCCCAGTCTATCAGGCAGCCAGGACTTTAGTTTGCATAGCTCTCCTAGAGTTTATACTTTGGTTAGAGACAAAGCCATATATTTTTTTAAATGAGTAGTTAAGGTGATACACAGTAGTGTGCTAGACTGAGGGACAGATCACTTAAACTTATTAAAGGAGTCAGGGTTGGGGAAGATCCCTGTAGGCTGTAGTGTCTGGGAAAATTTTAGCTTGAACTTTGAAGGCTGTTAAGGAATTTGGGTGGGCAAAAAAGCAATCACCTTTTCCTTATCACTGCCCTAGTTTGAGCCTTCCTTATTCTCACCTAGTCTCTCCTTCTATTGAGTCTGTCCCGCATGGTTCTGCCAGAGCAACGTTCCGGATCTTAAATCTGAACATAATTCTTTTGTTAGAAACTCCTGTGGCTACCCTTTGTTGGCCAAATAAGATCCAACACCTTCTGGTGTGTGATTCATAGTGGTCACCTCTGCCTCTGATAACCCTCCCTCCCTGGCTCCTCCATATGGCCCTCTTTTCCCTAAGGCCCGAAATTTCCCACTTCCCTCCCCTTTGCTTGGTAGATGGTCCTAGTCCATCTATCAGAAGTATCTACACTGGACTTCCATCGTCTGCTGGTTGAAATACTGCACCTCCTCCAATGTTGAGCTCAAATGCCATTTCTTCTCTTACATATTAGAGGATTCAGACCCTTGTGGACAAAAGCCACACTCTTTATTCCTTCCTCACAAAATTCATAGGTGAAAGAGTGTGGGACTGGGAATCAGGCAGATGCTTAACCCTGTACTAGCCTGTCATCTTACTGGTCCTCAAGTGAATGGATTTGTGTGAGTCCCTTCCACATTGACTCAGAACTTGGCCTTGGGACTTGCTTTTATCAACGGCACATTGGCAGACATGGTGCAGTGGCTTGGTACGTGCTGCCATACAAGCCTTGTGGTCTTGGAACACGCCCTTTTAGGATCTAGTCATCATGCTGCTGTGCACAAAGACCTCCCATTACCCTGCTGCAGGGAGAGAGGTCGTGGAGAGAGAGGCCCTGGCCGTGTGAGACGGGTCCAGAGTGCTGAGTCATGAGCCTGGTGTGCTCATTAGAGAGCCCTGTACCTTCTGTCTGAGCTCCCGAGTAGAAACACCATCTCGATACTTTTTGTTCAGGCTCCTTGAGTGGGCTCGCCACCTCAGCTTCATTCTCTTTCTCCCATCTCATTCTTGGATCGCTTCCACATGGCTCCTGCTCTTCCACATCAATGAAACTGCTATTCCTAAGGTTCCGACAATCCGCTTGGACCACGTAATTCTATGCATGAACCGATGGCCAGTGCAACACAGCCTCTGCACAACTCTGCACCATTAAATTCTCAGAGGCCTTGCTGGGGGGAATCAGAACTGGCCCACTTAAGGTTTCTTAAGTTTTACTGCAGCCATGTTCTAGGGACCAGTTGACTCAAGTATCATGGAGGGACAGGTGAGGACCAGCTAAAGAATGACCCAGGGCCTTTAGCTAAGAAATGCATGTGAGTTTCTGCTGAGAGTTGAAAAGAGAACACATCACTCCATGTACCAGAGACTCAGTATCAGGAGACATCCAAATCTCCGTGAGAGAGGGTGGGGCAGTTCCCACAGAGCAGCCTGGCGTGAGGAGGACACTCAGGGGGTGGGAGAGAGTTTGTGAGAAACCAGAGTATCTGTGGATGACCTTCTAAAGGTAAATTAGGTGTGGTATCCTGATTTTCATCTTTCTGTGTTGAAGGCAAACTGCTTTTCTAAATTGGCGAAGCCACCCACCATCTGCAGAGTGGTGGGGAAACATGTGCTGGATGGCCTGGGGCTTCCCACCCTCCAGGTGGGAGTATTCTGCACCATTCAGAACTTCCCCAAGGTACGAGGCTCTTTGCTACATGTATTGTCTATTTTGTGGGAAATGAATGTTGTGAAATACAGTGTTTGTGAATCACACCCACACCCACACCCACATACATTTTTCGGTAGGCACGTACATAAAGTATGAACCATACTATCAAGCTTGTTGGCTTTATTATGTTTCAGTGTAATATGGTACAGATGTGACATGATAACTTGAAGACCATCCAAGGTGGAGAAAGGAAATGGGGTTAAAATCCTTTTAAATCCTGACATTATTACTGTGATGAGTTCCATAAATCTACAGATAGGTTTATAACTTGATATATTTATATGTAGATTCTATATAGATTTAAAGATGTGTAGAGTGAACTACATAAAGAAAAATGCATTTTCATAATTTTAATAATTCATTTTAATTGCTACATTTTAGTAATTCCTATGTATTATTAGAAACAGTTTTGCTATGGTTTCTGGAAGGAAAATAATTATGATTAAATCTGTATGTTTTTCGCTATTTATTAGAGAGCTAGTGATAAAAATGAACTTAATATAAGGCTTTTCTAAGAGGATTTTTGTTGTTGTTGTTGCTGCTGTCAATCCTCAACTAAAGATATTTTCCCGTTGATTTTTAGAGAGAGTGGAAGGGAAGGAGGGAGGGAGAAAGAGAGAGAGAGAAAAAAAAAAGACACATCGATTGCCTGGCCCAACTGGGGCTGGGGATCGAACCTGCAACCAGGGATATACCCTTAACCAGGAATCAAACCCACGACCCTTCTATGTGTGGTTCCACATTCTAACCACTGAGCACACTGGCCAGGGCCTAGGGGGATTTTAACAAGGCAACAATTTTAAATGTCCCCTGAAGTTGGGTTCCCTCGTATTCCCAAAGCTATAAAAATGCCTCAAGGAAAATCATACGCCCTCCTTTTCCCTTTGAAAGTAGTGATAAAACATGCACATGAAAAGCCAGGTACGTTTGCCATTCTCGCCAGAGGTAGAGAAACATAGAACACGCTGTATTCCTCTCAGCACATTTGTTCTGTGGTGATGGCGACTCACTTTGAAGTCCACGAGAACGCGGTGCCCGAGCTCGCTGAAGCGGTGGAGGCAGAGAGGTTGGATGCCGTCGGCATTGCTGTGCAGTGGGTCAACGAGACCATCACCCAGGAGCTCCAGGGCCTAGCGCCCTCCAGCCAGGCAGAGGTGGACCAGGTGCTCAGGTAAATCTTCCACTCTGAAATGTAGGTGTGCCGTCTTAGCCGGTATGGCGCAGTGAATAAAACGTCAGCCTATAGACCGAAGCATCCCGGGTTCGATCCCCGTCAAGGGCATATACCGGAGTTGCAGGTTCCTCCCAGGCTTGAGCCCTGGTGGGCCATGTGCAGGAGGCAACCAATCAATGTGCTTCTCTCACATCGATATTTCTCTCTCTCTCTTTCCCTCTCTCTTCCACTCTCTCTTTAAAAAAAAAAAAAAAAAAAATCAATGGAAAAATATCCTCAGGTGAGTATTAAAAAAAAGAAGAAGAAATGTAAGTGTGCAGTACAAATATATATGTTTCCTTTCCATTCACCTGTCAATAAAACACATCTGTCATTTCCACAGGACACAGCAGTTAGTCAGTTAAGAAGCCTATGCCAGAGCAGCGAACTTTAGCATAAAATGTTGCTTTTCTTCTGAAAACCATTATTAAAATTTTACTGGGTATGGCCACATAAGGACTTCCAACCGCTTTTCATGCACTGAGCTTCCTTCGGATTCAGTGAAAAGATTCTCAGGAACGGAATTAAGATCAGAGACGATGTGGGGCAGTGATGTTAAAGTCCCTCCCTCCCTCTCCCCACCTCCTCACATGCCCTCATTGAGTATCCCATATGGGCCTTCATATGGTCACAATGAATGAGTGGCACTCATTTTCTGTCCTCCCGACAAAGGGATCTTCCATACCTGGCCCATAGGTTGACTCTGAAATGTGAAAGCCAAGGGACTGTGTAGTGGGGCTTTGTGAGTACTGTCCTGTGCCCAGTGAAGTAGAGGCTGGCGTTAACTTTTCCTTTTGTGCAGGTCCAATGCCACAATCTCTTGGCCAAACGAAGGTCAACTGGATCCTGTTTCTCTAAGCTTCACCACTTGCTTAGTTGTACATAACATTTTATTTGAGTTTGCTTCAGAGTTGGATCCTGACCCTTGTAAAAACCTTTCTGTAAAATTAGTTTTGGGTTTCTGAATGCTATTACACCTATTCCGTGTGTGTGTGTGTGTGTGTATGTGTGTGTGTGTGTGTGTGTGTTCTGTTATTATATCTTCAGCCATACCTTTATTCTATACATTACTTCTTTTCTGGAACTTTCCTTCCCCAAACCTCCCATCTGGACTGGCTGTAGGCCCACTACAGAGATGCTGCAAGACATCCCTTTCCTGTTCTCCTGTTGCCAGATCCCAGGTCCTCCTCTTTCTTAACATGCTGGGCTACATCCTTTAAAAGTAAGAATGAGAAAAGGATGTAAAGTTTTTGAGTTCTTTCATGTGTGAAAATGTCAGCACTTTGCTGTCATGGTTGACAGTTTAGCTGAGTATAGAATTCTTGTTTCAAATCAGTTTCGCTGAGCACTTTAACGTCACTGCCCACTGGCATCTGGATTATTAATTAGTCTGATGCAAATCAGATTCCCATGTCTTTGTTGATTTATTGATGCTTTTTTTTTTTTTTTGTCAACGGGAACTTTTAGCCTCTTTTCATTCTGTGTGACTGAAGTTTTATATAGATGTGCCTCAGTGAGATTTCCCCAAAGTTTTGTTAAGCCCCACCCTCCAGAAAAAAGAAGTCCCTCACATGGTGCTATATATTTCATTGTCTATTCTTGACTCATTTTTTTTTCTTCTGATGATCATTTATTGAAAAAGAAAATTCAACAGCCCCTAATGAAATTACATCTTCAAATGTACTTTATAAAGAGAATCAAATCTCAGATAATTTAAAAACAAGGCTGAAATCTTTAAACATTTATTTCCAGGCCAAAATTAATTTCAGTTCTTGAATACAGTTTCATGAATAGCGCCATTATATTTTGGCCTTGGAAACTGAAGCTGATTGTTCTTAAGTAGCTAAACAGCAGGGTTAATTATTAGAACATATTGGGGTCCGCACTAAAACATGACCAAAATCACCAGGGATATTCCTAAATATGCTACCCGACAGCCCTATTTTCTTGCCATTAAGGACGTTCTTTGAAAGAAAAGTGCAAGAAGATAAGGAGAGAAAAGAATTGGAAAAGAACCTGGAAAACTTAGCGCTACAGCTACCTTCATCCCTGATGCTACCACCACAACCAACTCCTCCTCCACCTCTGGCAAAGAAAAAAGGACAGAAGCAAGGTCAGTGGCTTATCACCTTGCAGAACCTTTAGTAACCAACGTGTGAGGAAAAAAGGCTGAAGCGTTAGAGTCTCTTAGCTCTAGACCTAGTTTGGGCTACCAGCTGGTACATCCATGCTCCACGCCACTTCCTTGCTTGAAACGTCCGTGTTGGGCCATCAGGGTTTTACCCCATCTCCCCTCCCCCTCCGTTCATTTGTTAATTTATCTTTGTAAGATGAACATATTTCTTACCCAGAGGTGAGCATTTACTAAATACACAAAAGTGGACTGAATGGTGTGGCAATGCCGGAGACAGGGAGGGTGGCAGGGGGAGATCTTTAACTGCCCCTCGGAATTTCCATTAGCTCATCAAGAAGCCACTCCATAATTTAAAGGTGACCAACATTTTCTCAGTCCTATGCAACATGTTCATAAACCATGTATTTAGGACACTTTGCTATCGTAAAGCAAATAATCGAAGTCATCATGCCCTTTGCTCCATGCCTTTCAACAGTCCCTCCTGTAAGTTAATTCTGGAGTTGCTGCTTGTAACAGTATTCCATAATATCTGTCCAGCTAGAACACACTCTTTCAGGGCATGGACCATGCTTTGTTCAGTTTAGCACTGCCTAGCATGATGCCACGTGCAAACTAAATACCCACTTCCTGTGGGTTCCATTGGATAGAACCAGAAAGGGACCAAAGAGACTGAGGAGACAAAGTCTCTTATTTCACAGGTTCAGATGCTGAGGCCTGGGATGGGGAGGAGAATTGCCTTGAACAAAAATAAAAATTAAAAAAAAAATTATGTTAGACCGATCTTCTGGGAGGGTGAGGACAGCCACTACTGAATTACATGTAGAGACCATCAATGGATCATCATTTGGTGGTTGCTTTTCACTGACACAACTTGGAACACAAGAGAACATACAGCACTTTGCTCTCACAGTTGACAGTTTAGCTGAGTATAGAATTCAGAGGGGCCAGCAACTTGCTAAACATTTACTATGCGCTAGGTGCTTACATCTTATTCCACTTATCTTACCTGTTTGACCCAAGTAGCTGTGGGGAAAAGGAGGAGACAGGAGGGACACAAGAGACTGATGAAGGATTCCGTGGTACCTGCTCAGCCTGGAGGGCCGAGAACCTATGAGAGTGAAAGATGAAGGATGCTGGCTGGATGGCTGGGTCTGAAGGCATTTCTAAAAGAAAAAAAGGCATTGGCTGTGGGCTGGTGAGAAACATACATAGCTTTAGGCATGAAGAGACGTTAATCATCAAGCTGGGTATCCAAGAGCAGTGGTGGAGAAAAACAAAGGATCTGGAACCCTCTCTTTTTTCACTTTCTGACAACTATTGGGCAAATCTTTTGATATCTCTAAGCCCCAGTTCTGTTAGATGGGAATGCGGGATAACAATATCTGCCCATGTTGGATATTCTACAGATTTCTTAGAGAGGCAAAACCCATGCCTAAGGATGGGGCCATTGGGGAGTGGTAAGTGAAATCAGATAACCTGTTGAGGGTTGAGGTGGAGAATATGTTATTCTCAGCCTCAACCTTTCCTTATGCTGAGCTTTTGTACCTGCAAAGCCTTAAGAGATAGGATTCTTCGAGTCAAACATCCTAAAAAGGAATCTATGATCGATGTTTTTCCCTCCAGGTCGGAAGACTTCTGTCATGGAGAAACCTCTTCCTCCTCTGGAACCTGTTGAGCCTGTGCTCTGTGGCAGCATGGCCATAGGGGCGGTGTCACTGGCCGTTGCCAGAACCAGCGCCTCGCTGGACAGTCACCCTCTGTACTTCAGTATCGCATCCCTGAAGCACCAGGTTAGTCTCCGTTACATTCCGTCACAAGTAAGGAGCCTGGGCATCTCAGTCTGCATGGACCATGTCCCTCACTTCCTCTTGCTTTGGTTCTGTTTCAGGAGAAACCAGCAAAGCTAACAATTCCGTTGCTAATGGTATCTCTGGTCTGCTGTGGGAAGTCATCGCCTGGGAAACTGAACTTGATGAAAGAAGTGATTTGTGTACCCCATCCTGGATTAATGGCTAAACAAGTACCTCCCATGATCTCAGGCTACTTCTTCTAAAAAAGATATACTCTATCATCAATGAATTTTTAAGTGTAGATTTATGACTCTAAGGGAGAGGGAATTAAATGTAAAACGAGGAATAATATTGTAACAAATCAGGGAAATGGGAAGAAAGCAAAAGCTCCAACAAACGGGAACACAAATTAGACCCCCTGGGATCTCTGGTTTATTACAGTGCTGACTCACGCCAGTGACTCACAGGGGAGCCACTTGCGTGTAACTCCGCAGGCCTTCTATTGGGAGAGCATGCACTCCAGCAGCAGCAAGAAGGAGCTGGCACTTTCCCAGCAGTCCATTCTGCCAAGTTAGAAACTCCAGGGCCCAAAGATGACAGATGGCAGATTGCCAGGCACTAAGGGAGGGTTAGTGCTTGTTTATGGAATATGGAATGAAGGAACCCTAAGTTGCACTTTTACCACTTAGCAGTGTGCTATTGTCTATATTGTTCATGTCTTGGCTGAGTCATTACCCTTTTTGTTTTGTTTTGTTTTTTTGTTAATACCTGAAGATTGAGGTATGTGCCCTTGACTGGAATTGAACCTGGAACCCTTCAGTCCTTGGGCTGACGCTTTTTCCATGAGCCAAACAATCTAGGGCAATATCCTTCTTTGAAGTATTCTACTAAGTGGATATTGGGGAGAACTCAGTGTTCATGTCCTAAAGGGGATTTATAGGGAAAAAGTACAGGAAGCTCCATCCCCTCTGCTAATACAGAGAGTGATACGGTGAAAAATCATTGTTTTTTAAACCCCAACATGGTCTGTGGTAAAGAATTATGTTTTAAAGAGAATAACCATTGCCTCCCAATTTGTCAATTGCAGAAGACTAGGGTTTATCTCTGGCTCACCATCTGTCAGGCCAAGTTCAGATCCTGGCGCCGGGATCTTTCCTGTAGTGAAGACTCGGTGTGCTGTGTGGGTACCAGAGCACTGGCCCGCCGTTCTTGATCTGCCTTCCTATGCAGATCCCACTGTCATCAGAATATGCTTTTCCACTTTTTACATGACTGTGGGTTTATAGGAACTCAAATACTATCATGCAGAATCCCTCCGTGGCCTGTGACATGTAGTGCAAGAAGGTCCCATCAGGAGACGTGAAACAGAGTGAAGTGAACTTGATCCAACCATCTGAACCAGCCAGTTCTGACAATGGAGAGAGGATACAGAGGAGGAAGAGCCTCTCATTCATGTTTGATGGACTGGAAACTGAGGGCTGACGATTAGCATTTAATCTTCTGATTTCGTAGACCTTGTCAGGGACCCTACAAATATTCTGAGTTAGAAACAGCTGTATGTAGTGAAAAAAAATTTTTTAAATATATTTTATTGATTTTGTACAGAGAGGAAGGGAGAGAGATACAGAGCTAGAAACATCGATGAGAGAGAGTCATCGATCAGCTGCCTCTTGCACACCCCCTACTGGGGATATGCCCGCAACCAAGGTACATGCCCTTGACCAGAATCAAACCCGGGTCCCTTTAGTCCCCAAGCCGACGCTCTATCCATTGAGCCAAACTGGTCTCAGCATGTAGTGAAAATTTTTGTATTTAAAACTTCTAGATTGCAGTTGTGGAAGATCATGTTTTTTTCTACTTACAGGGTTTGGAGATGCTTATAGGAATTCAGAAACAAATAATCAAGACAATTGAAGCGGTAAGTAAAGAGAATCTATGGCATCTGGTTCCTGATGCTTCTATAACTTCTAGTGCCCAAATTATACTTGGCTATGGAATTAAGTCAATGGTGTTATATGGAAAATGTGTTCATTTGCTTTGGGTTTCCCAAATGAGCCAAGCTTATAAGCTTTGGATCCAGCTTATAGTGGTATTAAGTCTCATTTTGCTTTCTGAGACAGCTGGCTCTATGCTAAGATCATCCTTAGGATTCATAGGGAAAGAAAGGATTTGGCCCCTAAGATGTGAGAGGCAGTTTGGAATAGCAGTTAAGGCACAGGCTCTTGTATCTGCTTAGAGTTGGGCAAACAAGTGCCCTGGGCCAAGCAGCCCTTGAGGGGGAAGGTCACAGAGGCAGGATAGCAGGCAGCTGTGAGTTCCCAGCTGTGCCATCGTTGCTGGGCAAGGCTGAGGCCAGGAGAGGGATCCGAACCTTTTCTATAAATTTGCAGATGTGGTACAGAGTTCCCAAATACCCCTGTACCCGGTTTCCCTCAATGTTACAGGACACAGTATAATAGGACATAATACCACGGTATGTTTGTCAAAACTAAGAAACCAAAATGGCACATTGTTACGAACTAAACTCCAGACTTTATTCAAATTTCACTGATTTTTCCACTAATGTCCCTTTCCCGTTCCAGGACACAATCCAGGATCCCCCATTCATTTAGCATGAGGCTTTGCAAGTCCTAGCCCTTCAGCCTCTTTGGGATGGGGCCTGAGACACGATAGCATGGGGCCCTGAAGGAACTTTGGCTCCAATGCTGTCTTGCCATCACAGAATCCATGAAGGTGGTGGCACTCCCTCCCGTGTAGTGATGGGTCGGGAGCAAGCCATACAGTTGACCAGAATTGCTTTAAGCACCAGCTTGGAGCCAGGTTCCGTGACACTATTCAGAATGCAGTCCTCTTTAAGGGTGACGCACCTGCAGATTTGGACCAGTTAACCCTGACCTTGCACTCTGCTTTGCCCCTCATTAGCTGTGTGACAATGACTACCTATCTCACGGGGACACTCTGAGGAGTGAATGAGTTCAATACCAGCGATGTGCTCAGAGTAAAAGCTGGCATTACCGTGAGCAGTACATACTGGTGGTTGTTATCAGAGCAGGTGGAGGAAATCCAGCCTGGAGGATGAGGAAATCAGGTTATCTGAGCTCGCTGCATTCAGCCCGGCTTTCAGACGTCTTACTGCCTTTTGATTATACAAGTAGCTCACGAACGTACTTGTGAAAATTCAAATACTGGTAGAGCCGGGTCACCCCTGCCACCTGCTCCCCACCGTGCCCACGTCTGCCTTGTTCACCACTGTGTCTCTCCTGCCTGGCACGTGGACCTGCTCCTCTGTTATTTCTCCCAGGGGAGAGCTAGTTCAGCTGACTCCAAAGAGCAGGAGAGTTGTATTTGCACCAACTTGAGTGTGAACCATACTGATTTTTGACAAACATGACCCCGTTTATAACCAGTAAATACTGGACACGCAAGTGCAGCCTCATCACTCCCCCAAGTTGTGGGAACGTGTCTTTGGGAAATATCTTTGCTGTTCATCTCAACTGACTTTAACACACCTCAGAGCCACCAGAGTTAATGGCCCTTGGTTGTTTTCAAAAGCCAATTACCCTCTCCCCCCTTACTTGTAGGCACCCTGATATTTGAAACATGTTGGGCCTACGGTCTTATTCCTTACGGGCAAGGAGGGGACTTTGTATGAGTAATACTTTATTTATGTGAGTAGAAATGCATCAATTAGCACCTTTATGCCCCACGGATATGATTGGATGCAGGGGTAAAGATGAACTAGTGGGAACATGTGCCTGATTTTGAGAAATAGTTTAGGGTTTATAAAAGCAGGGAGTGGCTGGCATGATCCGTGTGTGTGTGTGTGTGTGTGTGTGTGTGTGTGTGTGTGTGTTTCACAGTGTGATTGGCTGGGCTTCAGAGGCCAGAGGACCTGAGCTTTGCTTGCTGCCCACAGATAAGTGATACCCCACTATCTTCTGTCCCACAGCCCCCTCCTCCAAAAGCAGAGACTAAGAAAGGGCATAATGGAGGCAAAAGAGGTCAGGTCAGTATATGCCTTTGGTTACCGCCCTTGTATGTGACACAGTTCATCCATGTATTCCCTGTTCCTTGGGCTCTCCCACAGTCACTCTGCTCCAGGACCAGGGCTAATGCAGGGGGGAGTCTGCCCTAGACCAGGAGCACCGAACCAGGCAAGTGAGAGGTGGAATACCATTCCACCCTCACCTTTCTGCCAGCAGGCTGGGCCCCGGCCTTCTCTGCCAGTAGGCGTCTGGCCAACCGATGTCTCAGAGGAGCCTTCTGAGTAATAGGGTTACATTGGAAACCCGAGGCAAAGTGTTGGAGAAGCTGAATCTCTCTGCTTACGAGATGAAAGACATATCAGGTGCTTTAGATTTTAATCAGAAATCTGAAAGATAGCCTTACATCTGATTCCCGAAGGCACTGGGGCACCATTTCCGATGACATGTTGCCAGGTCTCAGATTTTTCCAGGAGAGTTAGGCACACTGTTCTTGGGGAAATGTGCCATGCTGGCTGCAAGAGCCTTGGGAGACAAGTTGAACTTGATTAGTTGGTCCTTTGGTATTGTGGATGCTCTGAACACAAGAATTTCCCCAAATCTTCCTTTGTGGAGTAGAAGGTTCCTCTCACTAACATCTGAAATGTTGGATGTTATGAAGGGTCCCGGGTTTGATTCTGGTCAAGGGGCATGTACCTTGCAGGCTCGATCCCTGGTCCTGGTTGGGGCATGTGTAGGCAGCAACCAATCTATGTGTCTCTCACATTGATGCTCTGTCTCTCCTCTCCCTCCAACTCTCTCTAAAAATCAATGGGAAAAATATCCTCCAGTGAAGATTACAACAATAAAAATGTTGGATGGTTCTTAGAATTGACTAGGGCTATTGCCAATAAAAAGGGGATATTTATACCTAAGATCACACTTGATCTTGAGTGTGGTTCACACACACACACACACACACACACACACACACACACACACCCTTAAGCCCTCAGAATTACTGATTTTGAGTTGTATAACACAACCGCACAGTGGCGGTTCATGACACAGGCACATCAAGGCTGACTGCCCAGGAGAAGCATGTGGCTGCCTTGCCCTGGGTCCTTTGACTCCTCAGATCTTCTTCCACTGAAATCCATCCTCAGCTACATCCTCTGGGCTGAAGTCCTCAACCCTTTTTAAAATGGATCCTCTCCTGAAGGAGGGCTGCAGTGCCCAGTGTTAGCAGTTATATTCCACTAAAGGAAAAGGGAACCCGGGAAAGAGCAGGTCTGGGGGAAGAGGGCAGAGTGAGGGACAGCCTGGAGATTCACCAACCTGGTGGTGCGACTTGAGGGAGCCAGGGCAGAGCCAGTAAGCAGTAACATACGCACCCAGAGGACAGAAAAGTGTGTTCTCCAGACACTGCTTGAAACCTCGGCAGTAAAATAAGAAAATGACCCCCGACACCACGGGGCAAACCTATGCCCATAGGTCACCCAGAGGTGAGTGGGACCGAGACAGAGGATTAATCCAGAATCAGAGGAGTGTACCCCCCCCACCCCCACCCCCCACCCCCCAGAGTTGTTTCTAAAATGTGCCCAGCACGGGAGACTCCCAGAGGTGACGTGCTGTGTTTACACTCATCATTTCCCCTTGACCTTGCAGCAGCCCGTCACTGGCAAGATGTCCCATCTGGGCTGCCTGACCCTCAATTACGACACCATAGAGCAGCCCCTGCTCCTCATACAAGGGATTTGTGCGAACCTGGGGCTGGAACTGGGGACGAATCTGTACCTGGCCATCAACTGCGCTGCGCATGAGCTGGTGGACTATGTAAGTTTCTTCTCCCGAACACTTGCTTTTTGTTGACGTCACATTACTTTAAAGTTAGAACTCAAAGGAAGAGCTGGTCTGTGTGTTTTTCAAACAGATCCTATTTTGTTGTTGTTCATTTGAGGGGGAAGGGGAACCCCAAATATAAATGGAGTTGAGAGAATAATATAACCACATACGTGATTTTTTAAAATGAACAGAAAACATCCTAAGTATATATAGACATTCTGTAATAAAGGTGACTGTAATGGGCTGCTTACATTGCAATCATGAGAGCTACTGAGACATAATTTCATGGACTGGGATGTTTGGCGGAGTACAACCAATTGGTTGGTACATGCTGAATTTGTCAAGCGTGAAAAGTAGATTCATTGTAACTGTGACTTGACAAATCCTTCTAGACACATGGCCCTCGAAGTTTGTGCCGTGACTCACTTTTTAAATATTTCCAAGTTATTGAAGTTTATTGGCATATTTAGAGAATATACCCAATTAAGCACAGCACAGCATTATCCAGTCTGGGGTAGGACAGAGCATTCATGATGAAACTTCACCTAGGGACCACACCACATGAAATTATTTTTAAAAGCAAGAGAATGGAAAACAGGTTTCATTTAAGAATGTTGTAGCCCTCACTTCCTTGGGGGACTTTATCAGCCATTAGCCTTTAAGTGTGGGAAATAGTTATGCTATTTGTCTATTTTACACACATACACATACTTCCCATTTCCAAATATATAAATGCTGAGTCCAGGTTTTAGAAAATGCCCAGCACGTACATATGCACCTACGGTCCTTGGTAACTAATGTCAAATTCAGGGGATATGACCAAATAGAATTTCACTTTGATTTAGAATTCTAACTTCCAACTTCAAAGGAAAATCTGAACAGTATATAGGAACCCTAAGTTTCAGCTGATTTCTAAAAGTTCTTTTACTTTTCTAAAGAAACTAAGCACATAAAGGAGTGTTTAATGTACTTTCCTATTTTTCACATAATGATTGGTTCCTAGGCATACCAATAAGAAAAATAATTGCATGTTTTCATCAGCAACGTATACCAACAACTATGAATATACTGACTCCTGGTGCTGACTTGAATGGGTATTTATTGCTCAGACTGAGTAAAATATATTAGCTTGACACCAGATAATTCTTACACCAATATTAGTTCAAAGTGTAGCATCTCCTTACTGACAAGATAAGGGTTTAAAACCTTCAAGTATAGAAACTAAAAGTTCTTGCCCTTTGCCAGTTTGGCTCAGTGGGTAGAGTGTCAGCCTGGGAACTGAAGGGTCCCAGGTTTGATTCCAGTCAAGGGCACGTTCCTTGATGCAGGTTCCATCCCCGGCCCTGGTTGGGGCAAGTGCGGGAGGCAACCAATCGATGTGTCTCTGTTCTAGCGAGTGGGCAGGTTGGCGTGGCTAAGTTTTATGAACTTACATTGTTGCCCATTTATCTAAGCACCACGTCATAAACCTAAGGAAGAATCATGCCTCTCCTACTCTTTTCTTAGTTGTTTTGTGTGTGTGTGTGTGTGTGTGTGTGTGTGTGTGTGTGTGTGTGTGCAGAAAGCTTCATCCGAAGTCACTGGGGCATCAAAGGGGATGGTGACTTGCTTTCCCCAGGTTAATATGTAACAGATGTTACAAGTAAAAGGGGTACATTTCTTATGTGAACATGGCCTGAAAAGAATCTGCTTGCAATCTTTTATGTGAAATGAATGAACATGTATTTGAACCCCATTTTTAACATTTGAGGGATTCGGTGTTCACCCTCTACTATCTTTCTTACGCTCGCCAGAATAAGGGGAAGTATGAAGTGATGTCGGGAACGTACAAAAGCACCACTGAGATGGTCGACCTGTATGTGGATCTGATCAGCAAGTTCCCTTCAATCATCGCCTTAATCGATCCTTTCAGGAAAGAGGTAAAAGGATTCGCCTTGGATTTTGTAATAAAATCTCATTCTTTCAGATCTGTCATTTGAAATGTGTTGTAATTTGGGCTGGGGATGACTTGCTTGCTTCCAGCATTTACGGGAAAAGGCACTTCCTAAGCAAACGAATAGTAGAAACACAATGACCTAGGAGTGTGCATGTCCACAGAATGAAGCAAGCTATCCCCAGGCACTTCAGGAGTGTCCGCACATTTACAAGCAGCTCAACTGATGGCCACTGAGCCCGCTGTGCTAGCTGGAGCCTCAGTAGGCTAATCACAGATCATTTTCAAGTGCTCATGGCAACAGGACTTCCACTAGGCCAGTGGTCTGCAAACTCATTAGCCCACAGAGCCAAATATTAACAGTACAATTAAAATTTCTTTGGAGAGCCACATTTTTTAAGCATAAACTTCTTCTAACGCCACTTCCTCAAAATAGACTCGCCCAGGCCGTGGTATTTTCTGGAAGAGCCACACTCAAGGGGCCAAAGAGCCGCATGTGGCTTGTGAGCTGCAGTTTGCCGACCACAAGCACTAGGCCAACTGTTTTTAACCTAAATCTAGTTACTACACATGTAGGAGAGTAACAAAGATATATATATATATATATATATATATATATATATATATATATTTTTTTTTTTTTTTTTTTTTTTTAAAGCTTTGATTTATTTTAACCTATTCAAGCTGGTGCCTCTAACAAGGGTAGTTTATGCGCCACAGAAGGCCATCTCTCTCCCTTTAAGAGTAAAACGGAAATTCTTGATGTATGAGTGTGAGAACCATTAGATACACTGAACAGACACCCTCTCTGAGATAACGCAAGGTTTCACATTTGGGGGCTAGGCTCTCTCAGTCCCGCCTTCCCTTGCACAGCCTTACTTAGCTCCACTGGCGCTTGCAGGAGACAGCCTGAGCTCAGCGCTTCCATCTTGTCTGCTTCCCAGAAATAACAGCGGCATCTTCCAACCAGCCATTCCGTAGCAACATTATGGATAATAGAGCAGGTGAGGAAAGCCTGGGTTTGAAGAGCTTCAGAATCAACGTGGAGAATAGCAACTAATGTGGATCAACATTTTATTCACTAAATCTTCACGCTCAGATGTAATCGTGTTAAGTTTCTGTCCCGAGAAGCTCGTTACCCTGTGTGGCTGTGGTGTAGGCACCCTCAGCTGCAGGTGTGAAAGGAAGCCAAGGCATGTTATCTCAGAAAGGCGTACAACTGTCTGTGCTCTATGACTCCTGTCGCTCTGTGGTTGTGCTCACTGCCTTGTAACGCTCCATTCTTAACTATTCACCAGGACTCGGACCAGTGGGACAGCCTCTATAATGCTCTTGGTTCCAGGTGTTACATCATAGCGGGAAGTGCCTCCAAAAGCATCCCCCAACTTCTAGAGGAAGGCAGCATCCGCACGCCCAGATCCAGCGGGCGGATCCTAACACACACCAACCAGACGACCGTGTCTGACTTGGTGGCCATAAGCAGCCTCCTGGCCAGTAAGTACAACAAGCAGAGGTCGCAGATTCAGCATGAGCTTGGTTATACAAGAAGCCTGAAACAGGCCGTCCGGTGGCTGAGAAAAAGCATGGGATAAACCTGGGAAGGAACAAACAAACCCCACCGCCTATGGGAGAAAAACAGCGCCCCTGCCAGCCCCAGAGGGAGGGCATCTCCTTTAGAGAGGGCACCACAAAGGGTTTTTTTTACAGAGAGGAAGAGAGAGGGATAGAGAGTTAGAAACATTGATGAGAGAGAATCATCGATCAGCTGCCTCCTGCACACCCCCTACTGGGGATGTGCCCGCAACCAAGGTACATGCCCTTGACCGGAAGTGAACCTGGGATCTTTCAGTCCGCAGGCCGACGCTGTATCCACTGAGCCAAACCGGTTTCGGCTTGAGGTCTTTCAATATGTTGCTCCCTCAGCCTAGAATGCTCTGCCCTGACCTGTTAGGTGGCTCGTACTACTGACCCTTCAAGTCTTCTTGCCTTAAGTGAGACCTCTTCTTGGCATATACAGGGTGGGACAAGAGGAGGTTTACAGTTGCGAGTACATGAAGCAGTTTATTCCTGTAGTATTATATTTTATTATGTTATTGGCCATACAAATAACTGGAAACCTCCTTTGGTTCCACTCTGTGTTTGCCTTCCCTGACTCCCTCCACCCCTTGCAGTAAACCTTTCTCATAGCAGCTTATTTCCCCTTCGCAGTACTGGTCACAATTACTCGTAGTTATTTAATGCCGGGAACATTGGCTGTAAACTTCCATGAGCTCATGGGCATCTGGTTCACTGAGGCCCAGTCCCTGAAACATAAATATCAGGAAGTAGGCAAAAGGCTGGTCTCAGACCCAGAGCAGGACTCCAAGTGGGACCGGCATCCAGGGGCCTGAGCGGACACCGGAGAGAGCGATGAAAGGCCTGTAGACCCCAGGCCTGAGGCTGCCCCGGTCCAGGACCCACCCCTCGGCAGTCAGACCATCACTCACTTCAGATGGCGGCTGTAGCTCCCGCCTCTGCACACACAGACACTGTCCCGGTAGGTAGAACTTTGGCTCACGCTCCTGTAGACTTTGGTAAATTCCAAGGGGGTTAGAGATCCCGAAATGATTAAATACTCTCAACGCTGCTCTTCTGATAAGTCAGCATTCAGAATGACAGGCTCTTTTGAATAAAATTCATTAGGTACATCAACTCCCCACTCGCTGCCCTTGCACTTACAGCGTCCTGACTCAAAGATGCACTTTTCTTCATTGATCAAGCATGAAAATTGAATGACGGCATACATCTGTGGTACATCTTAGAAATGCTCTCAATCTAATTTGAGCATTTCCCCCCTTTAGTGGTAATAATGGTGAAGCTTAGAATTTGTCATACCTGAAATTTGATGAAATGTAGCATTCATTTAGTATTTAGCATCCAAGCTACTGGAAAGGGGCCAGCAGATAAAACCAGGGTTGGGGGGAAGGGGAGGAGCAAATATTTAGGTTATAATTCTTAGGTGGTCAGACAATTGAATCGTCACGGGGAAGCTCTGAAATCTCTGGACATTTTTACATATTGCTCTCAGAGGCTCATGCATATGCAAATTGCTTCTGAACCGTGGGAAGCTGAGAAGAAGAACTCCTCTGTCCTGCCCACAGGTAAGAAGCACGTGGCTGTGTTTGGATGCATGGATGGGGAGTCTTCTGATGACAGCCTCGTCGACCTGGTAAGTGCTGAAGGCTGGGCCACTGCAGAACCCCCAAAACACTGCTTTTATCGGGAACTGGTATTTCAGAGAAATACAGGCTTTGGCGGAGAAAGTCCTGTAACCTTTTACGAAACAGGCTTGCCTCCTCCCTTTTGCGAAGAGCTAAACTTTGACCTTTTAAAAAGAAGGAAAATGGAAGTCCCTGGGGAAATGATGAGCACACTTAAATGACTGGGCTGTGCGCCTGCCGTCTCACCCCCTGAAACGGAGTGAGAAGGGCCAGCATGTTCTTAGGTTGTCAGCGTGTCTGCACGGCCAGTGAGGTGTGTGATGCAGGCACACTCTCAGCTTTCAACAGGCCCCCTTGCCTATGTAAGACAGAAAAAAAAAAAAATGAAGTGATAAGAGAAACACCCAAGTAGCACACGGGAACAGTGTCCTTTCAGCAAAATGTGACTTCTCCATTTCAAACAAGTTGTGTGTTTTTTTTGCCCTAGCTAGTTTGGCTCAGTAGATAGAGCATCAGCCTGCGCACTAAAGGGTCCCAGGTTCGATTCCTGCCAAGGGCATGTGCCTAGATTGCGGGCTCGACCCCCCAGTAGGAGGCGTGCAAGAGGCAGCCCATCAATGGTTCTCTCTCATCATGGATGTTTCTCTCTCTCTCTCTCTCTCTCTCTCTCTCTCTCTCTCTCTCTCTCTCTCTCTCTCTCTCTTCCTCTCTGAAATAAAAAAAATAAATTAATTAAATGAAAATAAGTAAGTTGTTTTTCCCCTGCTGAAGGCCGTTGGACTGGGTGTCCAGTTTATCAAGTTGGGAGGTCTTTCTCGCGGAGAACGGGTGACCAAGTACAACCGCATTTTCGCTATAGAGGACGAGCTTGTCCAGAACGGAACGCTGGGTATGTGCCGCTTTCTGGCTTTGTTTTCCCTCGGCCGTGAATAAGAGGACAAAGATGAAGAGAGGGGAGAGGGGGCATAGAAGTCCCCCGGCAGGAGGGCAGGGGGCTCCAAAGCCTGGAAATAAGAGCTGACAAACCAGGATGGCATTCGCCACAATGTGCATTGTGTCCTTAATGGATTATCTATTTACCTGAATGTTTAAAACTCTATGCCGGCTGTTCGCCTTGGTAAATAGGCTGCGTGAAGCTTTTCAATAGAATTGATTGGTTGGAATCTCCAGGCCTACCTTTTGTTGCAGTACAAATCATAGCCGAGGTCTCTCTGCAAGGCACGGGAAAATTAGAGGCAGGTTTTCCTCAGGGCCTTTGGAAGCCACTCATTTTACTTAAGACAAGCAGGCGGCGGCGTGTTCACTTCAATGCTGTCCTTTGGGAAGGCTGTGGTCTCGAGAGAAACGAACCTTAGGACAGGAAACCCTGGTAAATTTGCATGAGCCCAATCACTTTGTACGCTGGCTAACTGGAGAGAAACACTCGAAATATGCAATTTTACTTTTTATATGATTGATGGCGATGACCAAAAGTACATAGGTAGCACATGGAGACATTAAAAGAAACCAGTAGTTACGGTGGAATGCTAAAGCTACTTTGTACTGTAAGATAGAATAAACGAATGGGTATACTGAAAACAGTATACGTTATTTAAATAGCGCCGACAACTAAGACATGACGGTTTCTTGGATGCTACAAACGAGATCTATGTAAGGAGGTAGACGCATTATAGAATGTATGGGAGGCAAGGAAGCAGTCCTACTTTATGACTCAACACATACATGAAAGAGGAAAAAATACAGAAACCAACAGAACTTGAGATTCTACATTTGTCATGTTTAACATGTGTCACGATCTTGAAACACACCGGAAGATTCACAGAAAAGAAAGATATAGTTGGGAGACCGTCTGGAACCCTCTCTGATGGTGGAGTGGCACCTCTGGGCACTTCTGAGGATGATCTTTAAGTCAAACAATGTCAGAATGGGAACCATTGGATGAGACAGTAAACATTATTGTCTTTGCTTCCTAACAGGTTTCAAAGAAGAACTCACCTTTGTCCAGCTGAGCGAGGAAGAAGAAAAGATTGCTGAGGAGCCGGTGGCCGAGGCTGTCCTGGCTGGTGAGCTGCCCGGGCGCCCAGAGCCCATCTTCCCCACGGAAGTCGTACAGGAACCAACCTGAGCACGAGCACCTTCTGGACCGGGCTGTCCGCACCCACGTGCAGCCACTTCCGTGTTATCAGGCCGGCGCGTCGGAAGTGTGTCTTCTTCATGCTGGTTTCTCCCTTCTGTTCCTGCTCCTCCTTTACCATTTGGTGAAATACACATGTAGCATTTCCGCCTGTCTGTGGTCTGTCTCACCGCCATCACATTCCCAGGGAGATTTTGTGTACGCACCTGCTCTGTTCACTGGGGAGGGCAGGGGGTGACCTGGTAAAAGTACCTGGGACTTCTGTTGCCAGCTCCACGCTCAGCGCAAACACCTCCCCCTTTACAGAGGAAAACGTCTCTGAAAAGCAGATCTTTGCCACCAGGAGCTCTCTGTGCAGGAACATGTGTGCACCTGTGTCTACCTTACACACCTGTGCTAGGAAGCACAGACACGCTTATGTAGCCAACCTCACGCAGAAGTATGAGCATTTCACCATCCCGTGTAACGGCCAAGCAGTTGCCTTTGCCCCAATTCCCTCCTCTCTCTAGATGTTAGTTTTTCTTATATTATGTATATCCTTGGGAGTCTTCTTCAGTCCTTCTTGGCACAGGAATGAGTGTAAGTGAGTAAACACATGCGTGGATGGATAACTATTCTTAAGGGAATTAAATGCTCACTTATTTACATGACAGCCTGACAGGTGACTGAAGACCGTGTACCTGACAGGTGACTGCCCTGCCCCGCTGTGAGCCAGCAGAGAAGGAACAGAAATGAACTCACTCAGTCATGGGCCCACAGATACCACCTGCTTTGTATGGTTTAGACTCTCTGTTAAAAGTTATCATTTGCTTTACCCCCAAAATTATATAAATTGGTATATACTGACCTGTGGGAGTGTTAGCTACATGTAGATTTCTGGTATATTCTATATGTTTTCACTGAACATACTGAGGACCTCTCCTCTGGAAGAGGACTAGAGGGAAAAGTCATGGACTGAGGCCCAGGCCTTTCCCTCGAAGCAGTGACTCAAGGTCGGTTCCGGGGCTGAATCGCCCGGGCAGGAGGAGTGGGGTCTCACTCCAGGCCGGAAGAAGAGCGTCCAGGCAGTGGCTGCTACCGCCTCTCCTGCTGCTTACAGCAAACGGGGTGTGTGTGTGTGTGTGTGTGTGTGTGTGTGTGTGTGTATGTGTGTGTGTGTGTGTGTGTGTGTGTGTGTGTGTGTGTGTGAGAGAGAGAGAGAGAGAGAGAGAGAGAGAGAGAGAGAGAGAGAGAGAGAGAGAGAGAGAACCTGGAGGGAAAGTCCATCTTAAAGGCAGGAGGAACAGACTGGGTGTTCACATAGCCTTTGCACATGCAACATGGGTGTGCATACACAATTGCATGAAACAAGGGAGATCATAGAAGAGCGTCCCCTGGAACTAGATACAAATTATAATTGGATGGCTGAAACCAGAGAAGAAAATGTACAACTAAGTAAATAGTTAAATAAAGTTAACCAATGAGGCGACTGATGACCTCAACCCGATCAGCACTTTAACTTCAACACAGAGCGCAGCCCGTTCACCTGAGGACCAGGGCCACCAGTGGGCAGGTAGCATTTTAACTTAAACATGTTAATGCGATAAGCACTCCTTCTATTTTCTCTCTGTGTCTACATTTATTATGTAATAGATAACAGATACAAAGCATATACAGCACTATAAGATACCAACTGGAAGAGAGATGAAAGAAACTAGTCATATCCCATTTTAAGAAATGACAGAGGGGTTGGGAAAGGTCAGTGCATGGAAGAAACTTCCATCCAGCACTTAAGGGGGGACTGCATGGTGACTCTCCCAGGGTCAATGATGATGAGGGACGGCCATCCTCCCTCCGCAACTTAGTTCGGGGCACATGCAGGAGGCAACCAATCTATGTTTCTCTCTCTCTGGAAATCAATGGAAAAATATTCTTGGGTGAGGATGGAAACAAAAGAAAAGGCAAGAAGAGTCAAAATACCAGTTACTGCCAGCTGCCTAATGCAGCCCACCACATAGTCCCTTCTGACCCTGGAAGCAAGGCTGCTTCTGTGACCTCGCCGTTCTGTCATGTGTGTGATGGACCAGGGAACGGAGCACACATCCTCCTGGTCCTAAGTGTGGATGGCACACCCCAGTGGGCTGAGCACAGACACGGGAGGGAGGACAGCACAAACCAACAGGGAATCCAGTCCTCAGGATATACCATGTTGTGGGTTATTAAAAATCACCGACGTTATCAGTGCTTCCGTCATTTCCTCTTTAAAGAATGTCCGACTTGAGGAGCTGAACCAAACATGTCAATAACCACAAACGGCCTTGTGTGGGAACGCGTGGGTGCTTTTTAATAAGGGGGGTGAGGAGAGCTCACATCACAGCAGAACCGAACTCGGTTAGGTGCACGGATGCAGTTAGCAGTGAGCACAACACACACACAGCAGCGGCATCCAGTGGGAGAGCAGTATTACAGGGGACAACATCACACTTCCATTTCCCCGGAGTGAACTGCTAAGGAACCATAAAAGCCGTCCCTGGAAGAACACGGAAACGGTCAAGCATAATGAACCTACTGGAAGGTCATTGTGCCCAAACCGAGGAAGGACGCGTCCCCGCCTGCCTACTTCTCCAAGCCTAGGCTTAGCACACGTGCAAAAATCAAGTACAATACAACTACTGCAATTATTCCTATCGTTTTCCCCTGCCCTTAGGTGAGCAACACCTGACAGCTACATGCTGAGCTCGGCTAACAAAACGAAACCTTTCACTTCCTTTAATAGCAAAATTACCGTTACTGAATCACTGTAGTAAAAAAAAAAAAAAAATGCATTCAAGTACATGACCACTTATTTTAAATAAACACCAATTTTGAAACAATCAGCTCTGAAAGGCTGCATACGTGTGTTTTTTTTAATCCCTGATTACGTTCCTATTTATTCGCTGCGGTAGACCGAAACATTGTATTTGTAGAGACTAACTACCACTTAATTTCTTACAAAAACAACAACAACAAAAAACAACAAACCTGTGTAATGCAGAACAGCAGTAAAGGAAATTGTCTGCCTGTCGCATCTCTTCCCTGTACGTAAGAACTGTGATGAAATATGGTACCAGAGCCCCATGAGTACATGAGGAATCATAGTGAACGCATAGCACAGAGCAAAGGGTTTATATGTTAAGACTCTGTTACATTCCAGGATTGGGCTGCACCTCGATTCTACATTCAGGCCACCAGCGCATTCCCACCGAAGACCTTTGGAGGTTTTGGACTCAATCGTCAGCATGTATTTTCATCCCATACGTAACAGCTGCATAATGAACACTGATTCCGGGGCCACCGGTTGGACACCAGCTCCTGAATTTTAAGTTTATCTCAGTACATCCTAGCAAGTGACTTGGATGCCACAGTGCCTAACAATTCCCACGCTACTGCGGACTCTCCATCAAAGAGGATTGGATCCGAAAGTGCAGCTCATTGGAGGGCTTTTGAAATCACCTTGCATTGTTCGGTTCTGTTTACCCAATTATCCGCAGCCCTACAAACTTTCAGCGTCACCTTTGAAGAGTGGTATGTACATTCACAAAAAGGATAGCAACATCTGCATTTTCTGTAACCCTCTCCAAGAAGTCACATTTCATACAGTAATTAGGAGGAAAACAAAAACAAAAAACCTTATCCCTATGAATATAAAAAACTACAGAGAATGCGCATTTTGCTAAACAGCTTACTTACTAGTATATTGACAGGCGAACTACTTTCAAAAGTGACATCATAGAAGAACCTGTTTTTTGTTTTTGTTTTTTTCTGCATCCAGGGACAAGAACAGAACATCTCTAGAACTAAACATGTGCTTGTGGAAACGGACTTCTACGCATGCCACCTTCTGGCTCAAGGATCAGCAGCTGGAGCTGTCTGTGTCTCTCGTTTCCTCAGTGCCGTCTTCTTTGCATTCTGGTTTAGTTTCGCCGTCGTCATCCTCGCGTGGAGTTGGATCTTGTTCGGCACCCTGGTCTTTGGTTTGGGGTTCTTGTGTGGAAACAGGATCTAACACTACAACTGGCTCGGCTGGCTTTTCACGGCCAAGGTACTGCCTCCTCCATCCGCGGTCACTGGGAGGCCTAGGGGATGGATGAAGAGTTAAAATAACAACAAAAGTTAAAAGCACAGAGAAAAAGACGTGTCTTTTCTTCTCCTGGATTCAGATGAACAAACAAACAAACAAACAAAAAACCCCAAGACGTTCTAAGTCTAACCAACATGCTCATAGTGGTCTTGGAGGTGCCAGCCATTTACAAAAAACGAAGCTATTAGGGTGCAGATTTAGGAGCACAAAGCCAGAAGAAAGGAGGGGGGGAGGAGGGGGAAGAGCAATTAACAGCGGAGGTGTGAAAAAGCCAACCGCACCTACCTGCTTAATTGCATGCTCTCCTCAGGAAGTGCAGAGCTCAGGGGCGTGTGCAGGCCCCCCACTGCCTGAGCCAGACTCCTGCCCACCTTCAACCAGCCAGTTACCTCCCTGCCTGTGTCTCTGGCGCATCTGGCTGCAGATTAGCTCTGGGGAGACTGCATGGAGGAGGGAAGCACATCTCCCCATCGCTGAGGGGCAGCTGAGACACCGGGAGAGCTCTGCTCAGAAATGGGGGCGAGGGGAGGAACTAGGGCAGGTGGGAGAAGCCGGGGAGCACGCTAAGATGCTGTACCCATAACCTTTTCGAAAAAGGAGAACCATGTTTGAGAAACCTCTTCGTGGATGGCACATGCAGTTCAGTTTCTCTTCCAGAGGCGTTCCTCTTCTCTTCCGACACAAGAAACGAGACGTCTCAAGCTGATAGGTGACACTTCCCCGTGGGAAGGAGTGTCCTGATACGCTCTTGCCTCGTGTCAGGCAATTAGGGCGTCGGCACCTCTCCTCTGAGAAGTCATGGTCAGCAGCCACTGCTTGAAGGTCCTGGGCAGCTGACCTGGTGCCTGAAGTTGAGGGGCGTCTTTTCAGACTCATCTGGTCTTCTTGGCAAACGCCAGGATGCCTACCATGAGGCAGCATGCGCCTGCCCACCTCTGGAGAGCAGGATATGGCTGCCCTACCTATTGGCAGGCTCTGCCCACTCTTCCACCAGCCCCTTACCTGGAGTCCATTTCTACTATTTCTGATTCCTGGAGCAGGTCGGATCTGCCAGTTAAATACTCTATTACTACTCAATACTGCCTCCCATTGGCTTACTGCAGTTATAATCAAATACTGTGCGATTTGTTGTTTAATGTCTGTCTCTTCAAATACCATGTAAGCATCCCCGAAACAGGAACTCTCCAGCTTTGTTCACAGGTGTACCCCTGCTAGCACCTGGTGCAGACCCCTCTGTGGGGTAAGTGAATGAGGCAATGCCCATTGCCTGTGTGGGAAAGGCTCACAAAGAATGAATAGGCAGACACCATGGCTTCGGCGTGAGGAGGTCTGCAGGTCTCTCACACACCAAAACAACAGAACAAACGATCAGTTACTGAGAGAAAACAGTTTGCAGGGTCCAGCCACCAGTCCAAGAATCCTCAACCCAATGACCATGGTTTTATCACTATCTGACCAGTGCTATGAGATTTATCCAGATCTTGAAAACCACTCCATCTGGCTATCCGGTTATACTGTGTGACACGCTCATCATGAGTAAGTGACTCCTGTGGAACTCTGTCTTCCTCCGAAGTGGTAAAAGCAAACCCTTTATTTTTGCCTCCATTTGGCAATGCCCTTGCCATTAGAAACACTAAGACACTGCTTACCGACCTCGGCCCAGGATCCACTTTCCAAGATGTCTGCTACTATCCTTTGGGAACCAGAATGGGACAGAGTTTCCGCAGTGGTACCCGGTTTGACTTTCTCTGAGCCCAGCTAACACCTGTAAGACTTGTATCTATTGGGACGTGACCAGAGAAGCACAGCCACAATGATGATAGGAGGGATTTATTGCAGGGGATAGGCCTCTGGCAGTAGTCTATTTCAGTGTGCTGCCTCTACATCAGATGCTGAGCAAGAAGTCAGCAGTTCTGGCCACTGAAAAGAGAGATGGATGCAAAGAGCAAGAGACTGAAGACAGCACGGCCTGTGGCTCTCACATCTCTAGTCCTCATGATGCAGACCACCTGCAGGAGAAGCCGGGCCCTTCCTCAGGGAAACGCACATGCACCTGGCCCAGCTGCCGCCACATGCCAGCGAAATGACAACATGCGTGGACTGGAACAGCATGGACCGTCAGAGCGCTAAAAGCAAGACTCCCGTGTCACCTTGGCCTTCACCATCTCATGCAGGTTTCTCTCGTGGCCTCGCTGACCTAGAAGCAGAAGGGCAAGGGCATTCTGAGAAACCAAGTTCCAGCCTCGCTAGGTTGCTACAGAGCCACACAGCCTGCAGCTCATGTCACCAGGCTGGCGTCACCCTCCTGGGTTTGAGCTCACTGCAGGGAAGCCAGGCAGCCAGCTCTGGGCATGCACAGAGGTGTCCATTTTATTCCAGTGAGCACCAACCCATACTGACCTTGACCACTTGTGCAGAACGAGTATGGAGGGCCTCAGGCCCAGATGTGCCTGCGGGTGAAGGGGCGGTGAACGCATCCTGAACGAGCCTTCTTCATTGGCTGGAGGCCAAACCCTTCCAGGAAATGCTCCCAGTGCTTAGCAGCAGCAACACACGGGTGTCGATGGAACTGAAAATTTGGAGACCTGCATGGTCAGGCTGAAGCATCCTGAAATTGTCTCGGTCCACAGAATTGGTCCTCTTTATTGAAGGAGGCTTCTCAACTGCAGAGTAATCTGTCATTCAACCACCTGAAGGCTGCAGTTTGAGGACTCCCTTGTTGATTAGCCCTGGACTAGGCATAGTGGGCAATCTCGCTGAATCTATGCACCGTGAGTCAGAGGGACAAGGTTCTCCAGGTTAATGGGCACTGCCTGGATCCCAACGCGTTAATACTAGCGAGGACTATGGGGGTCACCGAGTCCCATCTGCCCTTGGACAGATGGGAAAAATGACGTTTGCAGAGGAGAAGAACCTGCTCTAACATCATGAAGCTGAGCAGCAGCCGCAGAGCCAGAGTGAGAATCAGAGGCTCTGTCTCCAGGCTCCTGCTTCTCCTGGGACCACAGTTTCCCCAAGGTACCCTCTCCTAGGGGAAGAATGACACTGTAGGCTAACTCTGGCATGCTTACAGATGTCTTCCTGCAACCCTGTTTGCAGCGGCATCTTTCAGATATGTAAACGTAACGTCCATCCCTTCAAGCTGTCCATGTGGGTTTTTGTATGTGGGGGTGCGACTCATGGTTCCTCCTCGTTTGTCATCGGGTCCATGCCTGGTTCCTCCAGGGAGCTGCCCAGGGCTCCTTCGGCAACGAAGGCCCTTCCTCCTAGGCTGCACTCCAGCCCCATCCCCACCGGAAGCGCGAGAGAACCCGGTCAGTGATGGTTCCCAGAACCGAGGCTCGTGTACCAGGCAACTGTCCTGGCAGCTTTCAAAAGGGTGAACTGGAGCTGCTCCCCCAGGTGACAATCCCAGGCCCTCCAAAGCAACCATCCAGCAGGAACTGCAAGATGCTATTATTATTCTGTTCCACTTTCCTACTTTCATTCCCCGGCTCAGGGCGATGACCACACATGAGGAATTAAAGGTCAGTCCTCATGAAAGGTATGGGAGACCTCCTGTATCCTGGAATATCACCAAGACAACTTGAATGTCTATCACAGGTGAGAGGAAGCAAGACTAAAAGCATGGGGTCCCTTTTTCCTTGTCAAATGAAGACCCCAAAGAAGGCAGTGAAGGGATCTGTCCACTTGTTAACAGCAGACAATGGGACTGAAATTGTGGAATCTTGATTTCTTGCCGTTTTTTTTTTTTCCTTCTTCTTCTTCTCACCACAACATGCCAGTAAGTCATTTACGATCCCCTCCAATAGGTATTTTCACGGGTCATTTTAGATCATTTGCTCAAGGGCTATTTCAAGACAAAAAGCAAAACAAAAGCTAGGAGACAATACACCAGTCTATGCCACCCTACAGAGCCGGATGCCAGGCACAACTGCAAACACTGCTCAGTGTGGACACAGCCTGTGCCAGCCGCTGCCACCTGCAAGGACTTCCTGTTTGGCAGGAGGGCAGATGCCCGCCCAGAGCTGTGCTGGACTTCCAAGTGTGGCAGCGTTCTCTCGTCTAACACCTACTTTTCATCATTTAAAATCGCAGCTCTTTTCCCCTCACACAGAAGCTGACCCGAATGGGCAAATTAATTTGTTCTCTGAGCTGAAATGGGGTTTTAAAAAGTACACCAAGCTAAAAGAAACACCAAGCTAAAAGTACACCAAGCTCCGTTCCACCTGCGTGACAGTTAGAAGTATTAGAATTGGTAGTAATATATAGGAAGTGTCATTTTATGTTTAAAGGTCTTGTTGGGGAGCCCTAACCAGTTTGGCTCAGTGGATAGATCAGTGGTTCTCAACCTTTCTAATGCCGCAACCTTTTAATACAGCGCCTCAGGTGGTGGTGACCCTGAACCATAAAATTACTTTCGTTCCTACTTCATAGCTGTCATCTTGCTACTGTTAATGAATTGTAATGTAAATATCTGTTTCCTGATGGTCTTAGGCGACCCTGCTAGTGGTTCTCAACCTGCATATGCTGTAGATATTTACAGGTTGAGAACCACTGGGATAGAGCATCGGCCTGCAGTCTGAAGGGTCCCAGGTTCGATTCCAGTCAAGGGCATGTACCTTGTTTGTGGGCACATCCCCAGTAGGCAGTGTGCAGGAGGCAGCTGATCGATGTTTCTCGCTCATCGATATTTCCAACTCTCCCTCTTTCTTCCTCTCTGCAAGAAATCAACAAAATATTTATTTTTTAAAAAAAGTCTATTTGGGGAAATTGAGGACAAGTGTATTAAAATCTCCAGAAAAGCAGGTGCCTCTGGAAGGCCTGAGAGCCATGCCAGAGCCCTTCGCCACCGTTGTCACGTGAGAGGGGTTAGGGGTGGGGGGAAGTCAGACTTCTTATTTTTACCCAAGGGGGACTTAGGAAACTGACGTCCTCTCTGGAGTTTCCCCAGGGAACTACTTTATAAAGACAGATTTAAAATCTTGCCGTTTC